CAATACCCTCCACCCTGCAGATAGATTCTAGTAGTGGAAATTTTAATTTGATTCATGGTGTGCTGACTTTGTTGGAAACTAAATTTAGTTTTCAAGAATTATATCCGACAATTAATTTATCTTAATTTGATACGTGTGTCAATGAAGCATACATACAGTGACGGAGCTATCATATGGCCAAAAACAACACGACCCGTGTAATTTTTCAAATTCCTAAATATATCTATTCATCTCTTCAAGGACATGATATTGTTGAGAGAATTGACCTCTCCATCACTTTTTTATATTTTTAAATAGCTTGAGGATCAACGATTAACTTAATGGTCATTGCAGCCCGCTGTTGGACCATTAGCTCGCGGGTTTGAATCTCATCAATCTCATTCTCTTTAACTGTTTCAAATAGCGACAAGAAAAAGTTTTAATAGAAACTATGGTCCACCAACTTTCATAAAAAAATATTCCCTCTCAAGTAGTCTAATGTATTATTAGAAAAGGAAATTGTTAAAAAGTTTGATAAGAATTCAATCATATATGATTTTTGTGATGGAAAAGAATGTCGAGTAACGCTTTGATAGACAACTTAGTAGATATGCATCAAAACATTTTTTTTTTTTGTCCGTCTACTTTTTATGTCAATGTCTTTGTATTCAACTCTTTTTTGTGCGATATATTTTCACGCATCGGAAATTTGAATTGATAAAAAAAAATATTATCAATGTTGTCCATCTGATTTTCTATACCTAAGATTTGGCCATTTCACCCCGCCATTAGACCTAAAACTCTCGGGTACGAAGCTCATCCACCCCTCCACATGTATAAACTGTTCAAAAAAAAAAGGACAAAATAATGGATCCGTCACTAAACGAATGAATGGTGCAGGTTAGTGGTGTGTATTAAATTGAATGTAGATGAAGAAAATCAAGAGAGAAAGGACAAATGAAGTCTGTCAAAAACAAGCAGAACAAATTGAAGAAGTTGCAACTACAAAAGTTGATAGTTTTTGGGTTTGAAGTCTTCCCTTTAATAGTTATGTTTTCGTTTTTTTTTTTTTTTTTGTCAACTGGGATGTTTGGACTAAATTACGCGCATTTGTTAGAATAATGCATAGTCATTTAGGTCTTGAGTCTGTAACTCATTTTTCTTAGAAATAACCAGAGTCTTTGATTAATTTTAAGCTTACTTTAATTGTATACTCTAACCGGAAGGTAATTCAATCGATAATAAGGATAAACTGTAAATTTAGATATCATAAGTTTAAATTTTGGTAATTTTTTTGGGTTAGACTAAGAAAGATTTATTCAGATTGAATATCCTTGTCTCGGCATAGATGACCTATCTTTGACCAGACTGAGAAAAAGATTAGTTGAAATACGCGTAAGTTAGTCTGTACACCACTAACCATTAAACCAAAAAAAACAAAATTGTGTACTCACTACAAGAATTATGGTTTATTGAGATAATTTTTTTGCAACGGCTATGTCCCTATCACAAAAAAAACTTGTTCCGAAGAAAAAAAAGACTTTTGTGACAGTAGTGTTGTCGTAAAATATTTATTAACTGTCACAAATACTATTTGAGACAACTCGTTGCTGTCATTAAGACTTTTTGAAACTCCACTTACTATGAAAAGACATGTCACTACAACGCCCGATCATAATACATGGATTCTAAAATAGTATTTATGGCGGTAAATAATTTTTAATGACAATACTACTGCCACACAAAAACCTTTTTTCTTTAAAATATGTTTTTTATGATAGTAAATAGACAAGTTATAAAACATTTGTCTCAAAAAACTCTAATTCTTATAGTGCTCCTAGAGATATACTCATTCTTCATTATACATCTTAATTGCAACAACCACCACCACACAATTCAAAGCAAAATTACCACGCCAACCCAAAAAAAATGATCAAATCGTCGAGTAGTGTGGTTTAGTGGTAATATCGATCTTATTCCTTGTCTAAAGGTTGGGAGTTCGAGTCTTGGTGTTTTCATTAGAGATTGGTGGTTGACTGTTATGCTAGCCTAATTCAGTCTTGGCCTAAGAGGTGTTCTAGACGTTGTCAGGGACATTATAATTCTACCGGTGAAGGCTTAACAGGGTGGTTGTTGGGTGTTGTGCCTTACTCCCACCGCTTTTTTTCTCAACAATAATAACATTCAAAACTAATTAAAATAAAAGAGAAATGCATCACAAAAACTGGTTGTTTTCTTGGGAAACTCGTATTTCAATGCATGCATAATAGTTGAAGAGTATTGTCATCGAAATTTAAAAGGTTGGTTTAATTTGTTGACATAATGATGTTATATTGACATGGTCTAATAATATTGTTGTAATGATAATTATTGAATTTCTCTATTTAAACTTTATCACTTGACACATTATTAGATCAATAAATTATGTTTATTTTTAGATTTCAATAACATTACTCATAATTGAAAGAAGGATAATTTGCAAAACACAGTCTTAAAGTTTGAATTCAGTTCTCAAATTGTGATTTGAATCACAATGTTGTCCTTCCACCTAGATCTATTGAATTCTATTAATAGAATATTATCACGCGATAGCAAGACATAAATACTCGACGATTTGCGATTTGAGATTATCATTTAGCGTCCCTCTTCGTATTGATGTGTCAATCTTCAAGGAGTTTTAAGAATCTCTTTAAGTATGTCCCTCTCTTACTAAAAATCTCTTTGTGTCTCCGTGTTGATGTTTCACACTAATGTCTCCATTTTATACTTAGAAGATAGGTCGAAGATGAAAGATTAGATATAACCATAGGCGGGAAATATTTTGTTTGGACATAAGTACCCCTCTACCATGTCACGTTGCTATCACGTGATGATATCCCGTTAGCATATTTGAACAGCTCTAGACCGAAAGACAACGTCGCGACTCAAATCACAATTTTAAGGACTTAATTGTTGAAGTTTAAACTTCAGGGATCAAATAGGAACTGGAGGTGTGTTTTGCAAATTACTCTTGAAAGAAAACAATCGTTTTCTTGCAACACTTTGCCTTCACATTGATTGTGAACTGAGGATTGCCCAATTAGATGTAGAGGAATCCTTAATTCTTTCGGGGCCAGTATGGAATTTGCAGCAATGGTAAATAAAGTATAAATTTCGGTTGAATGTAGGGATGTCAGTGGACCGAAGTAGAGACGGGGGTGTAGTTTTCATTCTCGTACCCATTTAAAAAAATTCCGTTTATTTCTGGTCCACCCCATTAACGGGTATAATTTTCATTCTCATCCCGGTCCACAAGTAAATTTCTAATCCCTGCCCTTGTACCTGCCCTAGCCTAAGCCCAAGCTTAAGCTCAAGACAATATAATCCAAAATTCTAAATAAATTTAACATTTTAAATAATCTAACAACATTCTAAATAATCTAACATAATCTAATACAACATAATATAGCATAACATATTCCAACATAATACAAACAACAAATATCCAAATTACTACCAGAATATTTGTAATAGAAAAACTTTTCTGCCATGTAGTTTCACACCTGTAATTTAATAAAGAAAATAAAACATAAAAAACTATAATAATTGAATAAAAATTATTTTGTATTTACTAATAAAATTAATTGGTTGAAATTGAAAAGTTATCAACTCAATCATCTCTTAACATTATCGGTGGTGGTAGAATCTACTTCTTCAATATTATTTTCCTATATCATTAAAAGAAAAAAAAAATAGATTCTTCCAAGGAAAAATTTTCAACTAAAATGATATAATTCATCATCAATATTAAGATCCTCCAATAATGTGTAGCTCTTCAAGCCCGTCGAAGTAGATGAATCTAACAAAAAAATAATAATGCATTAGTCACCCCCCCAAAAAAATTATGATGCACACACAAATAATATTTTAATACCTTGTTCTTAGGACATAATCAACTTTGAGAACACATTAAAGTCTGTACTGTAGATGGAAGAAGTCTATTGCGAAGTGGACTGATCACCCTCTCACTTGTACTAAAAGCAGATTCCGAGGCAATAGAAACAAAAATAACAAAAAGATCTTTAGCAATCATTTGAAACAAGTGATACTTGAGACCACTTGTCTTCCAAAAAAATAGTATATCAAAAACTGAAGTTCTTGACATCATACCATCTTTTAAATAACGATCTAGACCTCTCACGTGCTTTTGTTATATTTCTTGTTTGTATAAACTTATTAAAATCAAAGAAATCATCAATTAATGAACATTTGGAATCAATATATGATTAAAAAGATGGAGGAGAAAGTTGCAATTCATAATCACTTCCTTGCCTCGCTTCAAAACTCCTTAATCCTCATCACTTCATTTAAATCTTCCACTCTTTTGAGAGATGTTGTCCAATAAGTTACACTATCATGAATTTTTTGAATATCATCTTCAATTACATTTAAATCATCTTAGACAATTAAGTTGAGAATATATGCACAATAACACATATAGAACAAACCGACCATACAATATTAGTAAATCAAATAAAAATTTATTTAACAAAATAGCCACAATTATATCATTAATAATAAAATTATGCACGGTCAAATTCATCAACTTAAGTTTTGTATTGTAAATCCTAACCATCTACAATCACCAGTAAACCATACGAATGGAACAACCGACCAGAACACCTCGTTTTACAGAATCTCCCCCTTTGTAATCTTTAAATCACACATTCTACCATCCATTTCCGTCCTAATTTAAACTTTCGAAAAACCAAAGCTAGCAAGCTGCGTTGAACATTTGCCACCACCACCATCTCTCTCTGCGCGATCAAGACGCAGGTTAGCACAATCGCAGACAGACTTTTATAATTGGGCTCTGATCGACACACTGTCTCTTCGGATCACGAATTCGCAATCTCTTTCTTATCAGGTACGTTCTAAATCGACCAGATCTCTCATTTCCTTCTCTCCGATCTACATATATACTATAATTACAGTTTCTTGTTCTTTTGATCTCCGTAATCTTCCGCAAAATTCAATAAAAAATGAATTCGAATATTGGAAAATCGAATAAAAATGTATCTCTAAACAACTTCGAGTTCGATCTCGGTGTCAACACAAACCGTTCTCGATCTCTCAACGATCAAAAGAACAAAAAAACAACCTCGTATTCATATTCAGCATCTTCATTTTCAAAGCCTAATACGACGTCATGGCAATCCAACAAACCCTCCTGGACTCACCAACCGGCGGCACCGAGTCAATCGGCTATGCCGGGTTCATTATCCGGCTCAACGTCGATGGTTGGTGACATATTCGGGAAAAGTTGGTCTTCAACGCCTTCTATGACCAATTCCATTTCAAATATTGGAATTGGGAACAAAAGCCCTAATTTGTTCGGCGATCTCGTGGGCTCGGCATTAGGGCAGAATAAGGGTACAAATAGTAATGCGCCTTTGAAAAATGCAACGCCGGTGTCAAATAAGAATGTGTTTTCGATGGGGAATGTGGCGGATTCTCTGCCAAAGACGGGCAATTCGGTGAAAAGTAGTGGAAACTGGGGCTCTTCTGAGAGTTTTGGGAGCTATACAAGTGCTTACAATAGCAATAGCAGTGTCAATGTTAATGTGAGTACTACTGCTAGCAACAGAAGTCCCAATCTTGGTGGTCCGTCCCTGAAGAGTATGGGTGGAAGTGGAGCCACAGGTGGTGGAGGGATGGGCTCAAATAAAGACCCATTTGGCAATTTGGTTGATTTTGGGTCAAAGCCGGATGCTAATATTAATTCGGCAGGTAAAGGTAATAATAAGAGCAATTTGGGAGATGATTCATTCGGGGATTTTAAGAATGCTTCGAAACCGAGTACATCGTCATTTATGTCAAATGCTTTTCCCACAAAAAATAATAGTTCGAGCATGGATACTTCTTCAAAGATGGACGATTTTGGGAGTTTTGCTTCTCAGAACCAACCATCTGTGCATTCCCCTGGTGTTGATGTGTTTGATTCTTTGTTCTCCTCATCCTCGGCCTCGGGTGGGGTTGCGACAAAAGAGTCTGAAGGGCTGCACAATGATCAGTTTTCTGGAGGCAATGATTGGGGTTTTGAATCAGAATTTGGGGGAGGGAATGACAATGGAAGGACAACTGAGCTTGAAGGGCTTCCTCCCCCGCCTTCTGGGGTTACTGCACCAACGGCAAAGAACAAGGGAATGGATAATTACAAGCAGGGGCAATATCCTGATGCCATAAAGTGGTTGTCATGGGCTGTAATTCTTCTTGACAAGGCTGGTGATGATGCTGGCACAATGGAGGTCTTATCATGCCGGGCTTCTTGTTACAAAGAAGTTGGGGAGTACAAGAAGGCTGTCGCTGACTGTACGAAGGTATGATCATAACTTTAAACTGTTGAAAGAATTTCAGGGTTCATACTTCATATGTTTAATTTCCATTTACACATTTTTGTAGAAATTAGCTTGAGTTCTTATAGCATCCCGATAATCTTTTAGTCATAAAACTCTCAGATAACTCTTTAAGCTCTGCTACCCAATATGCCTTTTGAACATCATAAGCTGATCCAGCTGGTGCAAGAGATATATTGATCCAAAACATGTCCTCTGCTACACATGCCTTGACGCAATCTCATGTTATGAAGTGTTGGAACATAGCCAGAATAGGATGGCAGCTAATTAAGTGGCACATATTTATTTGATTGGGCCCAGCATGTATGGCACTGTCCAATTCATTTTGCTTTGCAGCTTCATGAGCTGTCGCTTGATTCTTTACCTGCTTAATGTTGTGTAACCATTTCATTGATTACATTGCTTGTGTAGGAAGAGAGTTAATAATTTGCATTATATTTGCAGGTACTAGAACAGGACAGTACCAATGTATCTGTCCTTGTACAGCGGGCCCTCCTATATGAGAGTATGGAAAAGTACAAGCTTGGGGCAGAAGACCTCAGGACTGTTATGAAACTTGATCCTGGTAACAGGCTCGCAAGAAGTACCATTCACCGCTTGACTAAAATGGCCGGGTAGAGAAGTTTTGGAATTCTATTTGTGAACCTTTTCATTTCTCATATGCTTGATTACACTATCTCCCATCTTCATATCAACTTGTGGGGGCTATTATAACGTTTCTCTTGAAAATTTGACTTACTTTGTTGATGCTTGTCTTGTGATTTACACTTATAATGTACTGTAGTTCATATACCCTGTTGCTTGTGATTGGAAGTTGTTCTTCTTTGTTGCTTCAAATTGGCTTTGGAAAGACAAAGTTATAAGTAGTTATGTTTTTGCTTTGCGATGTGTCTTGCCTGTGTATGAGTTGGGTTTTATTGTTGATGGCTCTTTTCTTACTTTTGCTTTTTGATCATTGATCTGCATGCAGTTGATATGGTCCTGTGTTTCCTGTATAATATGGACTTCTTCTGATCTTGGAAATCTTACGGTGTCACAAAATAATAAGGATGTTCAGGGACAACCATAATATCTGCACTAAGATCTTTAAACAACAGATTCAGAGAAGAAAAAAAAACAAATTCAGAGAAGGAAAAAAAATAGTTGGTAACCGAGGAAAAACCTACTCGAGCAAAAGAAAAAGAAATTACAGTAATATGCTGACTTTAAGCAGCAATGAGGAATTGGGGATGGTTTTGGCTTTTGTGATGGCTAGTTGGTAGATCAAGCACTCAAATTGACTAACCGGCAAGGATGCAAGTCTCGTGTGCTGGGTTGTCTTTTTAGTTGAGGAATAATTATAAATTCTGTGACGTTTTTTGAGTTATTTATACATGCCAAGATTGGGAACCAAAATAAACTAGACTACAAGTCATGGAAGCAAGATAAATGGTTGAGGAAAGCAGTGAAGGCAGAGACCACCATTTTCTCTCAGGGGACGGGAGAACGAGCAATGTTTTTTGGCCTGTTTCTTAGGATGAGGCCATATAAGGAATCTTTCTGCTTCCAGCACAGGCCTGTTCTATTTGGTTTTATACTGGTACTGCTATTCTTAGCTCCACGTTGTGCACATCAGTATATCTTCTTTCAAATTGCCATTTCCGTTTTGGTCTTTTCTTCACCATTAATTTTTCCTTGGTGGTTACAGTACCAAGGAAGCTATTAGCAAAGCAAATAATTTTCCCCTACCAAGAGAGATCAGTAAAATTACTCTATTGTGATGTTTGTCACGAGCTTGTATTACGAAAACAATTTCTTCACATAGTAAGACTACTAGGTACATTTGATTTTGGGCTTCTGCAGTGGTAAGCATAGGAGATGAGTAGTCCGCTTGATTGATAGAAGAGTATCGCTATTAGGACTTAAAAATCAAATTTAATTTATTAATATAATAATGTAATAGTGACATAATTTAATATTATTATTAAGATGATAACTCTTGAACTTATTTATATTAGAATATCATGTTTACAAATTACACGCCAAACCTCTCACCTCAGCTTATCAGCTTGAGTCCAAAGTTGGAACTCAGATGCTCTGCCATCTCGTTAAAATCTTGTGTTGGTTTATTGAGATAAAAATATTTAATTTTGAGATCTAAATTGCTTACAATAATAAATTAAATAATTTCTTTTTAGATCTTAATAACATTATTCTAAAAAATAAAAAAATAAAAATAAAAAAGTCATCGTTGGCTCTTGTCCTCTTTTTCAACAGTAATGTTAGACTGATTAAATTTTGAAATCCAAATGACATGACAGTTGATTTGAGCTTCTTTCATGCATTATTGTCATGTTATTTGGGCTCCAATAAAAATTTTAAATAATCAACTGATATATTATTTAGACTTCAAATTTAATCGATCTAGATTACTCTTTTTCTGAATTGGTTGGTAGCAACTTGTAACTGTTATTCGATAAATCGAGCCCCCACCAACCCCCACTGACTATATGCCGCACACAACTCTCTCTCTCTCTCTCTCCCTCTCTCTCTCTCTCTCTCTCTTAACTTGTCTCTTGAAGTAACAACAGATGTGTGGTGGTGCAATAATTTCCGACGACGTCCCGATCCAACGTGGCCGGAAACTGGCCAACCATGACCTCCGGGATGCGTTGGACACCATCTCTGAACTCGGGGGCTTCAACTATTCCGGCGACAAAGACCACTCCAACCAGTCTGATAACATGGCCACGCTCAAGAAGCAGCAACTCAACCAAGGTGAGGTACACACACACACACACACACATATATATACGCATGCATCCAGAGCTACATATGTATACTTCCATGATCATGATGGCATACATACATGTATGCGACTTTAGATGCTGCATGGCGGGTAGTAGTGCCAACCTAAATAAATATATGAATATGATGCATGCGCATCACACACACACACACCCATAGATATATATATATGCATGCATGTTGTAGACTATGAATATATACATGGGTTTTCTGTAAAGTATGATCTGTTTGTATTTTACGTACATACGAGTGTTCTGTAAAATGAGTATGGAAGAAGAATGAGTTTGGGATTGTAGGGACGAGTGAGAAGACTCAGAAGATTACTCAGGGAGCGAGTCAGACTCTGAGACCTCGGAAGAGCATGTACAGAGGGATAAGACAGAGGCCATGGGGAAAATGGGCAGCTGAGATACGTGACCCACAAAAGGGTGTCCGAGTCTGGCTCGGAACCTACAACACCGCCGAAGAAGCCGCCAGAGCTTATGATGAGGCTGCCAAGCGCATCCGCGGCGATAAGGCCAAGCTCAATTTTGCTCAACCACCCCCACCCAAAAAAAGGTGTATCATTCCCGAGTCAACTCAAGAGAACTCGCCGTCAACCGAGCCGTCACCTCCACAACCATTGATGGGTTTTGAGGTCCACAGCCAACCCTACTACCTCAACTCAGTGGTAGATGATGAATATGAGTTCAAAGAACAGATTTCCGAGTTGGAATCTTTCCTGGGATTGGAGCCTGAGTTGGGTCAGTTTGGGGGAACCAGTGAGTCGGACTCGGTGAACCTTTGGATGATGATGGATGACTTTGCTGCTACTGAACATCATGATATTATCTTCTGAGCAGATATATAGAACGTCAGATCGTGTTTGTGTGAAAGTTCAATGCGTAGTTTTATGTTATGTCAGTGGTTTTGAAGCATCCTGTTCCTGTGCATAAGATAATAAGTTGCACCTAGTTGCATCTAGTCATCGACAATGTCATTTTCTGCTTTTTATCTCTTACTCTTGGATTATGCTGATCATGTGGGTGCATGTATCTACCCTACTTTTTATTGTTTATATTGTAGATTCCTTGTATCGTTTCCTTTTAGGGTAATTTTACACTTCCCACAAAGATGAAGTTATAATTGTTTAAAATAATTTTGGAAAATATAAAAGATTTTAATGTCTTTTGAATGGTTAAATTTTTCACATTTCCTTTTTAAAAAAATTAAAAAATTATAATGTGATTCACCGTTTTATTTCTGTTTAGTTGTTCATCTGTTTTGTAATTTCTAATTGATTGATTTGGCACAACATATACGGACAATCAAACAAAAATATATACAGTAGATCACATTATAACATTTTTATTTCTTTGAAAGGATAATGTGAAAAATTTAATCATTCATGAGCAAATTTGGAATTTTTGTATCTTTAAGAGGTAAAATGGAATTTTCTATAATTTTATGATTGATCATAAAATATTATGATCAATCAAAAATACTCATTCAACAGTTATACATTTATTTTAAAAGTTTTAGTTTTCACGATCGGTCATAATTTTTTAAGATCGGTCGTGATTTTTGCAGTTATAATTTATACTTTTAAAACTTGTAACTTAAACTTTAAGAAATTATAAATTTGAAAGGATATGTTACTGTAATATTGCCTTTTGTTTTTTTAAGGATAAATTATATTTATTAGAAAAAGGTTGTTACCAAAAATTTGTTTACTAAAAAATTTATTGAATTGAATCTCATAAATTAATTCAACCATTCACATCGATTTAATAATTTTTTTTTGGTAAACACTGCAATCCTCTATTTGTTATCCTCAAATTTAAATCTATCATTTCAGTTTTAACCTCCCAACCTTCTAGTTAGGGAATTGAGAGAAAGCCAACTAACCTAGGCCAATATGTAATACTAAATCTAAAATCAAAGAAATAGCTTTTTTAAAGTTCAAATTTTGCCAAAAAAATCTTACTTTTATTATATATATATATATATATATATATAATAATAATAAAACAGGAGTGTGCTTGAATTTTATTTCAGTCATATTTTTTTCCTCAAAACCATCACCAATCACTTATCTCATCTATAATTCCTTTGTCAGNACTATATATATATATATATATATATATAATAAAACAGGAGTGTGTTTGAATTTTATTTCAGTCATATTTTTTCCCTCAAAACCATCATCAATCACTTATCTCATCTATAATTCCTTTGTCAAACTTAAACGTCAAATCACATCACTCATTTTTATCACATATTTAATCATTTATATATTTTCTCCCTAAAAATATCACATCACTCATTTTTATCATATATTTAATTATTTAATATTTAATTAATTTTTAATTAATATATTTTAAAAAAATTAATATAGTGGGATCAATTTTTTGGACGCTAGAATTTTATATTTTATCGTATCTTTAGGCACGAGTTATGACTAGTATATATATATGACAGACTTCGATAAACTCATTCAACGGTCNTCATATATTTAATTATTTAATATTTAATTAATTTTTAATTAATATATTTAAAAAAAAATTAATATAGTGGGATCAATTTTTTGGACGCTCGAATTTTATATTTTATCGTATCTTCAAGCACGGGTTATGACTAGTATATATATATGACAGACTTCGATAAACTCATTCAACGGTTTTAAATAGACTCATTCATCAGCCATTAACATTCATCTCAAAATTATTAACATTGATTTTTTTTCCCCCAATCCATCACTTCTTACTTATCGCGTCTTCAAGCACAAGTTATCCCTAGTACGATTATATAAAGGCATGTCACTTGTATCGAGTAAAACAGATTCGTATCAAATCTTAGTAAATTCGTGTCAAAAAATACTTTTTTCATATCCGATTCGTTTATTAGTTAGTGTCNTCCCCCAATCCATCACTTCTTACTTATCGCGTCTTCAAGCACAAGTTATCCCTAGTATGATTATATAAAGGCATGTCACTTGTATCGGGTAAAACAGATTCGTATCAAATCTTAGTAAATTCGTGTCAAAAAATACTTTTTTCATATCCGATTCGTTTATTAGTTGGTGTTNCAGATTCGTATCAAATCTTAGTAAATTCGTGTCAAAAAATACTTTTTTCATATCCGATTCGTTTATTAGTTAGTGTTTACCGAATCGGTCATATCGTGTATTAACTATATATAACAAATATATAAACGATTCATATCGTGTATTTCTTTTGACTGACTTCACTCATACCCAATTCATTTATTAATCGTGTCGTATTGAACCTACTCGTTTACTAAACATGTAATTTAAGGAAGAGTCAAATTCTCTAATTTAGTATATGTTTGTATCTTATTAACGAATCGTGTCATACTTTATCACTCCTAATTATATAGATTCAAAATTAGTATGGTAAACACGTAACCAACGAAAATGGTTGAAACGATTCTCTACTTGGTAAAAAAATACCAAAAAAGTAAAAAACACAGTAGAATGTGATATTTCAAAGTCTNTTAACACTCCTAATTATATAGATTCAAAATTAGTATGGTAAACACGTAACCAACGAACATGGTTGAAACGATTCTCTACTTGGTAAAAAAATACCAAAAAAGTAAAAAACACAGTAGAATGTGATATTTCAAAGTCTTTTATAAATTGGGTCTATATCTACCACTAATCATTACTCCACGTACTCAAAGTAGTCCCTTATCTCAACCACAAACCTGTTTGTAGTTATTATCAACGACAAAGTGGGAGGCCTAACGCACCTCAGAATTTTTCTCCTACAAACTAATACATATTGACTTGGAACATCTAACCCAGGTAAATTTTTCTCCTATTGCATGAAGGTTCAAACTACCTGTTGTTAACACAAGGTTACAAAAATCAGAACAGAAGACAATGAAACGCAATGCAGGTAAAAAATTTCTAAATTAAATTGCAGTGGCATGTAAGAAAAATCGTGAAATGGAGGAAGGCAAAGAAAAATATCTTACTCAAAAATAAAGATTTGAAAACCAATGCAGCACCAAAAAAAGAGAGTTAAGTTGTCTAAATCAGTAACCAGTAACATTCAAGACCCTTGCATGCAACAAGACATAATATTCGGGATGCAATGGTCGCAGGGCAGAAGAAATGGCAAAAAGGAGGGGCTTAAGATGATCTTGATGCATGTGAAACGGAAGGATTACATGTGCATAGGAGGTTAGGATAAGTGCTCCAAGAAACTTAGATGCCTCTTTAAAGAACCCACAAAGGAAAAACAAACAAAACCAGGCCAAGTTGTGTTTAGGCATTCCTGCATAACCCACCCCACTTTGCACCTTAACTAGATCATGGCTATCATTCTCATATCAGCTATAAAGCGCAAGACTTCTGTAATTTCGTGTTTTGGTTGATTCCAAAATATGAAAAATTAATAGTGAATGCATAGCTCCTAGATTTACGATCTAGAACATTAGCAAACAAAACCTTTACATCCTAGTCATCCACTCGCCTTTGTTAGCAATGGGAAGGCTACATTGTCACTAGTCACCATCCCTATCCTACTCGTCCTGGCATAAACAATTGACAGCAAATTACCACCTTCTCCGTATAGACGATTATATCTCAAAATGAATACCCAAAAAACAGATATTGGCGTTAATATGTCACATTTGATTCTACAATACCATAAACCTATAATGTCTCACTCAAACTATTTACGTCACAACACAACTCTTAGTTGACCACATCAGTTAAAAATTTTATACTCTGCTGAATCAGGAGTATTTTATGTCAATGAGTACTGATCTTTTGACCTCACATCAATGTATATTGTTTCAACTTTCAATCTATTAAATCCACCACCCACCCCTTATCTAGCAAATCAAACTCAATCATCTAGTTCTCATAGTTCTGTTGTGCACAGGATACGACCACATAAATTAAACTCTACTCCCTATCAATCTTTGTGCAAGAAAGCTTAAGAGAAGAGTCAAAACACCTACGATCAACAGTAATGGAATTCCTGCTAAAGATCGCACCCCCAAAGAAGCTTTCTCCCAGACTACTAATTTTTTGCACATGCTTCTTTTTCTGCCACAATACCAGCAAGATTAAGATATATCCTAAGATACTACCCACCTCAAACAAATTTCCATAACTTCACAAGCTCCACAAACAGAAACCACAATCCTATTTATCCTTTTCCATGTTTTCTCCGGTGGTTCACACGTCGGTAAATCTAAGCCCCAGCAAGTCTTGAACACTAGTCAAGCTGCACCCTAATTCATTGACAAGGCATATTATCTTCCATTGGCATTGACTCTGCAGAAATTCATTTCATAACTTTTTCAGAAACCCACATGCCACATGCAACAAATTCCACCATGAAATCTTTACGGTGATATACACAATCCCCATATGTTATTTTACATGAGTAGAATATCTGTAGATCCAATCCATGGGTAATGCTAAAGATGAATGGGAATGGCATCCTAAAGGCTATTAGATTTTGTATTCCTACTATCAAGAACAATACAACCACTTCCATTCTCCGTTCTTAAGCATCAAAGCCCAAAGCGAATTTTTTTTATAAGTACATGTATGTAACATAAAAATTGATCATAAGCTAATCAATCATTTACATAGCGTTCTTCACACTCTACTTAATTCAAAACTGGTAATTAGGCATTATAAGATAGATTATGAACTCAAACCCACCACAATCATACAGAAAATAACTTTTTAAGAGTCATCTAATTGATATATACCAAGTTACCAACCAAAGTATCATATTTACAAGTAGAAATCAGATGACGAAATGAAAATATATGCAATTATTTACATTGAATTGTCAATGAAAATATTATGAAACCCCCTCCCTCCCCCCAACCAAAACAAATTAAAATCAAGAGGCATGTAATCCTAAATAGCCAATTATCCCCCATTCTTTTCAAAACATTATTCGGGTAGTCGAGATAGAACAATACCACGTTACCAATTTAGCAAATTGGTGTGATTCTCATCGCAACCTTCTCTCTCGCCGGATCACCAATCCCATCAGCCACAATCCTCACCACCTTCTTGAACGCAAAATGCAAACAATTTGAAAGCACAATCCAACACAACACCTCGTACACAAAATCGAAAGCCGGATCGGAAAACGAATTCGATGACCATTCTTCCCAATTTGACCCACCAAATCTATCAAAATTCCATCCTCTACCACCGCCGCCACCAAAAGGACCATTCCCAAAACCGCCGCCATCGCTGGCGTCACCAAAAAACCCATAATCTCCATCATCCTCATCTCCCCCATCGGTCAAAGATCTTCGCTTGGTGCGTCTCCTCTTGCGTAGAAGGGTTCGAGGAGCAGTTCTGAGATGACTGGGTTTCACTGGCGGTGGTGCCACGGCGTCGACCGGGAAAATCACGGCAGAGATAATCGTGGAAGAAAGTTGTTGTTCCGATAAGGAATCGGAGATAGATATAACGTTGTTGGATGTTAAATTACGGCGATGAATAAGGTATTTAGCCGGCCCTAGGCTTTGAATTGAAGCTATTGTTGTTACTGAATCGGAAATCAGAGATATCTCCATGTCCGTGTTCGAGATCAAAGTTAGAAATTTTCGAGGGTTAGGGTGATTATGGGTGGCAAAAAAGGGGATGCATTTTCCGGCGAAACGAGGGAAACGTTGACAAAAGGTGGGAAAATAAAGTGGAATTTGGAGGGGAATTTGTTTTTATTTGATGGACAAGTTTGAATGGAGACTGATTTTGAGAATAAACAACTGACTGGGGGATTTTACCGGCCGAGAATCTTCCTCCTTCACGAAACAGCGACGTGTACTAGTGTTAGAGTTCTATTATAGGTGTGTTTTTCCCTTGGTATATGTTAGAATAAATTAAATATATGGCCCCTAAAAATATAAAATTCTTTATTTTTTTTATATCAATTAAACTCCTGAATTCTCTAATTGTGTTAATTTACTCTTTTTGTATGTCTCAATTAAATTTTTTAACGAAAAGTGTCTCTCACGTGACACAAATAGTTAGAATAAATTATACATATGGCCCTTAAACTATGACTCTAATTGATGAGCTTAATTTTAGTTGGATTAGGCCTAATAAATCTAATAAGCCCAAAACAGCTACAAGGCGGGTCAATCATAATTTATGGATTCGACCCAGTTCAGAGTTCAAGGAGTTCAGAAAGATTATAGCACGTAATGAGCAATTATCAGAATACTCATTATTAAAGATTAAGACACTATTTAATTGTACTTACTTTTTTAGCTATCCTCCTTTCACCGCCTCACCTAAAGACTTCTTGCCTGTAAATTGTAAACTCTCTTTATTAAGAGGGGCATCTTTACACCTTTCTACACACACATAACATTTCTCTCTCTTGAGCAACTATTATATCCCTCCCGAAGTTGACCATCATTCTCTCTCCTGTTCATCTTACTTCATCAATAAAAGAGTTCGTCACTGTTGTCGTTTCCCATTGTGAAATAGGTTATCAGAACTGAACCACTATATATATATATATATTTACTCAATATTTACATTACTATTNCACAAGCTCCACAAACAGAAACCACAATCCTATTTATCCTTTTCCATGTTTTCTCCGGTGGTTCACACGTCGGTAAATCTAAGCCCCAGCAAGTCTTGAACACTAGTCAAGCTGCACCCTAATTCATTGACAAGGCATATTATCTTCCATTGGCATTGACTCTGCAGAAATTCATTTCATAACTTTTTCAGAAACCCACATGCCACATGCAACAAATTCCACCATGAAATCTTTACGGTGATATACACAATCCCCATATGTTATTTTACATGAGTAGAATATCTGTAGATCCAATCCATGGGTAATGCTAAAGATGAATGGGAATGGCATCCTAAAGGCTATTAGATTTTGTATTCCTACTATCAAGAACAATACAACCACTTCCATTCTCCGTTCTTAAGCATCAAAGCCCAAAGCGAATTTTTTTTTATAAGTACATGTATGTAACATAAAAATTGATCATAAGCTAATCAATCATTTACATAGCGTTCTTCACACTCTACTTAATTCAAAACTGGTAATTAGGCATTATAAGATAGATTATGAACTCAAACCCACCACAATCATACAGAAAATAACTTTTTAAGAGTCATCTAATTGATATATACCAAGTTACCAACCAAAGTATCATATTTACAAGTAGAAATCAGATGACGAAATGAAAATATATGCAATTATTTACATTGAATTGTCAATGAAAATATTATGAAACCCCCTCCCTCCCCCCAACCAAAACAAATTAAAATCAAGAGGCATGTAATCCTAAATAGCCAATTATCCCCCATTCTTTTCAAAACATTATTCGGGTAGTCGAGATAGAACAATACCACGTTACCAATTTAGCAAATTGGTGTGATTCTCATCGCAACCTTCTCTCTCGCCGGATCACCAATTCCATCAGCCACAATCCTCACCACCTTCTTGAACGCAAAATGCAAACAATTTGAAAGCACAATCCAACACAACACCTCGTACACAAAATCGAAAGCCGGATCGGAAAACGAATTCGATGACCATTCTTCCCAATTTGACCCACCAAATCTATCAAAATTCCATCCTCTACCACCGCCGCCACCAAAAGGACCATTCCCAAAACCGCCGCCATCGCTGGCGTCACCAAAAAACCCATAATCTCCATCATCCTCATCTCCCCCATCGGTCAAAGATCTTCGCTTGGTGCGTCTCCTCTTGCGTAGAAGGGTTCGAGGAGCAGTTCTGAGATGACTGGGTTTCACTGGCGGTGGTGCCACGGCGTCGACCGGGAAAATCACGGCAGAGATAATCGTGGAAGAAAGTTGTTGTTCCGATAAGGAATCGGAGATAGATATAACGTTGTTGGATGTTAAATTACGGCGATGAATAAGGTATTTAGCCGGCCCTAGGCTTTGAATTGAAGCTATTGTTGTTACTGAATCGGAAATCAGAGATATCTCCATGTCCGTGTTCGAGATCAAAGTTAGAAATTTTCGAGGGTTAGGGTGATTATGGGTGGCAAAAAAGGGGATGCATTTTCCGGCGAAACGAGGGAAACGTTGACAAAAGGTGGGAAAATAAAGTGGAATTTGGAGGGGAATTTGTTTTTATTTGATGGACAAGTTTGAATGGAGACTGATTTTGAGAATAAACAACTGACTGGGGGATTTTACCGGCCGAGAATCTTCCTCCTTCGCGAAACAGCGACGTGTACTAGTGTTAGAGTTCTATTATAGGTGTGTTTTTCCCTTGGTATATGTTAGAATAAATTAAATATATGGCCCCTAAAAATATAAAATTCTTTATTTTTTTTATATCAATTAAACTCCTGAATTCTCTAATTGTGTTAATTTACTCTTTTTGTATGTCTCAATTAAATTTTTTAACGAAAAGTGTCTCTCACGTGACACAAATAGTTAGAATAAATTATACATATGGCCCTTAAACTATGACTCTAATTGATGAGCTTAATTTTAGTTGGATTAGGCCTAATAAATCTAATAAGCCCAAAACAGCTACAAGGCGGGTCAATCATAATTTATGGATTCGACCCAGTTCAGAGTTCAAGGAGTTCAGAAAGATTATAGCACGTAATGAGCAATTATCAGAATACTCATTATTAAAGATTAAGACACTATTTAATTGTACTTACTTTTTTAGCTATCCTCCTTTCACCGCCTCACCTAAAGACTTCTTGCCTGTAAATTGTAAACTCTCTTTATTAAGAGGGGCATCTTTACACCTTTCTACACACACATAACATTTCTCTCTCTTGAGCAACTATTATATCCCTCCCGAAGTTGACCATCATTCTCTCTCCTGTTCATCTTACTTCATCAATAAAAGAGTTCGTCACTGTTGTCGTTTCCCATTGTGAAATAGGTTATCAGAACTGAACCACTATATATATATATATATTTACTCAATATTTACATTACTATTATTTATTATTTTATTAATTGTCCATTAATTATATCTTATCTTGAACGAGACTATTTTGTGCATCATCACTTATATCAATTAAGTTTCTAAATTTTTTTTTATATATCAATTGAGCCACTGAAACTCTCTAATTGTGTTAATTTAGTCATTTGATGAAGTGTGTCACCCACGTAACATAAATGATTAGAATAAACTAAACATATGACCTTCAAACTATTATTTTTATGTCAATTAAACTCTTAAATTTTTTTCATCAATTAAGCCCTTAAACTTCAATTGTGTTAATGTGAGACTATTCCCACTCCCACAAATCTTTATTTTTATTTCATTTAATTTTTCATTCGTAAACTACTAAGCACACCCCTTCTATACTCACTCTATTAGTAAATAAACTTATTTCATGCTACATATACCCCATTTAATAGTTAAACGCACTTATTTTATGTACACTTTTTTAAAAGACAATTAATTTGAATGCATAAATACAATTACGAAATAAGAATAAAAAATGAAACAAGTAAAAAAAAATCAAGTATGCTAAAATAAGAAAAAAGGAAAGAATAAAACAAGAAAAAAAGAAGAAGAAAGAAACAGACCGAAAAAAAAAAAAGAATGACATAAAGAAAGAAGTAGATCGAAGAAAAAAGAAAAAAAAAATTTAATTAACAAGTGTTTTTATGAGTACATGAGAAGAGATAGATAATGAAACTATAATTATGATAAAATATAAAATAGATTTACTTATTAAAAGGGTGTATGTAGCATGAGGTATGCTTAGTTACCAATGGAATAGGTATAGAAGACATGAGTTTAATAATTTAATAATAAAAAATTAAATAGANGTAATCCTAAATAGCCAATTATCCCCCATTCTTTTCAAAACATTATTCGGGTAGTCGAGATAGAACAATACCACGTTACCAATTTAGCAAATTGGTGTGATTCTCATCGCAACCTTCTCTCTCGCCGGATCACCAATTCCATCAGCCACAATCCTCACCACCTTCTTGAACGCAAAATGCAAACAATTTGAAAGCACAATCCAACACAACACCTCGTACACAAAATCGAAAGCCGGATCGGAAAACGAATTCGATGACCATTCTTCCCAATTTGACCCACCAAATCTATCAAAATTCCATCCTCTACCACCGCCGCCACCAAAAGGACCATTCCCAAAACCGCCGCCATCGCTGGCGTCACCAAAAAACCCATAATCTCCATCATCCTCATCTCCCCCATCGGTCAAAGATCTTCGCTTGGTGCGTCTCCTCTTGCGTAGAAGGGTTCGAGGAGCAGTTCTGAGATGACTGGGTTTCACTGGCGGTGGTGCCACGGCGTCGACCGGGAAAATCACGGCAGAGATAATCGTGGAAGAAAGTTGTTGTTCCGATAAGGAATCGGAGATAGATATAACGTTGTTGGATGTTAAATTACGGCGATGAATAAGGTATTTAGCCGGCCCTAGGCTTTGAATTGAAGCTATTGTTGTTACTGAATCGGAAATCAGAGATATCTCCATGTCCGTGTTCGAGATCAAAGTTAGAAATTTTCGAGGGTTAGGGTGATTATGGGTGGCAAAAAAGGGGATGCATTTTCCGGCGAAACGAGGGAAACGTTGACAAAAGGTGGGAAAATAAAGTGGAATTTGGAGGGGAATTTGTTTTTATTTGATGGACAAGTTTGAATGGAGACTGATTTTGAGAATAAACAACTGACTGGGGGATTTTACCGGCCGAGAATCTTCCTCCTTCACGAAACAGCGACGTGTACTAGTGTTAGAGTTCTATTATAGGTGTGTTTTTCCCTTGGTATATGTTAGAATAAATTAAATATATGGCCCCTAAAAATATAAAATTCTTTATTTTTTTTATATCAATTAAACTCCTGAATTCTCTAATTGTGTTAATTTACTCTTTTTGTATGTCTCAATTAGATTTTTTAACAAAAAGTGTCTCTCACGTGACACAAATAGTTAGAATAAATTATACGTATAACCCTTAAACTATGACTCTTATTGATGAGCTTAATTTTAGTTGAATTAGGCCTAATAAATCTAATAAGCCCAAAACAGCTACAAGGCGGGTCAATCATAATTTATAGATTCGACCAAGTTCAGAGTTCAAGGAGTTCAGAAAGATTATAGCACGTAATGAGCAATTATCAGAATACTCATTATTAAAGATTAAGACATTATTTAATTGTACTTACTTTTTTAGCTATCCTCCTCAAAAAGCTAATACATTTGCCCTCACGTCACCGCCTCACCTAAAGACTTTTTGCCTGTAAATTGTAAGCTCTCTTTATTAAGAGGGGCATCTTAACACCTTTCTACACACACATAACATTTCTCTCTCTTGAGCAACTATTATATCTCTCCCGAAGTTGACCATCATTCTCTCTCCTGTTCATCTTACTTCATCAATAAAAGAGCCCGTCACTGTTGTCGTTTCCCATAGTGAAATAGGTTATCAGAACTAAACCACTATATATATATTGACTCAATATTTACATTACTATCATTTATTATTTTATTAATTGTCCATTAATTATATCTTATCTTGAACGAGACTATTTTGTGCATCATCACTTATATCAATTAAGTTTCTAATTTTTTTTTATATATCAAATGAGCCACTGAAACTCTCTAATTGTGTTAATTTAGTCATTTGATGAAGTGTGTCACCCACGTAACATAAATGATTAGAATAAACTAAACATATGACATTCAAACTATTACTCTTATGTCAATTAAACTCCTAATTTTTTTTCATCAATTAAGCCCTTAAACTTCAATTGTGTTAAGGTGAGACTATTCCCACTCCCACAAATCTTTATTTTCATTTCATTTAATTTTTCATTCGTAAACTATTAAGCACACCCCTTCTATACTCACTCTATTAGTAAATAAACTTATTTCATGCTACATATACCCCATTTAATAGTTAAACGCACTTATTTTATGTACACTTTTTTAAAAGACAATTAACTTGAATGCATAAATACAATTACGAAATAAGAATAAAAAATGAAACAAGTAAAAAAAAATCAAGTATGCTAAAATAAGAAAAAAGGAAAGAATAAAACAAGAAAAAAAGAAGAAGAAAGAAACAGACCGAAAAAAAAAAGAATGACATAAAGAAAGAAGTAGATCGAAGAAAAAAGAAAAAAAAAATTTAATTAACAAGTGTTTTTATGAGTGCATGAGAAGAGATAGATAATGAAGCTATAATTATGATAAAATATAAAATAGATTTACTTATTAAAAGAGTGTATGTAGCATGAGGTGTGCTTAGTTACCAATGGAATAGGTATAGAAGACATGAGTTTAATAATTTAATAATAAAAAATTAAATAGAAAGTGAATAGAGATTTATAAGGTGAGAATAACCCGATTTTTGTGACCAATTAAGTCATTTTATCTTTTTATATCATATAGTCACGTGAGTGACATATTCTAACGGATACAGATAGAATTATACAATTGACACAATTATAGAGTTCAAAAATTTAATTAACATAAAGATCATAATTTATGTTAATTGCAAGAGAAGAAATAAAAAATTAAAAGTATTCATTCACGTACACCTCAACTAGTCAGAAATTCTGGGCACATGGATTCACTTTTTTAGATTGAAATCTGTTACGATGTAGCTGGATAAAGCCTGCCCCATTACCCCACGCCTCAAATCCGGGTTAGCCCCGAACCTTTAATCACCCCCCTCACACAGTCACAGTCGCCCTAACCCTAACCCTAGCCCTGAGTAGCTTCCATTTTATAAAATCCGCTCTCTTCCGTTCAAACTCTCTGGTTGCAGCAGAGAGGAAGAGAGAGAGAGAGAGAGAGAGAGAGAGAGAGAGAGAGGAGTAGGAAAGCGAAGCCATGGTGTCGTTGAAACTCCAGAAACGGNCTTCCGTTCAAACTCTCTGGTTGCAGCAGAGAGGAAGAGAGAGAGAGAGAGAGAGAGGAGTAGGAAAGCGAAGCCATGGTGTCGTTGAAACTCCAGAAACGTCTCGCCGCGAGCGTTCTCAAGTGTGGCCGTGGCAAGGTCTGGCTGGACCCCAATGAGGGCAACGAAATCTCCATGGCCAACTCCAGTAAGCTCCTCTCTGTCTCCGTCCATGTATATACATATGCTTTTAAATTGACTGGCTTGAATTGTTGTACTGGTTAGTTTTGCCATGTAAGTTAGAGTTGGAGTGGAAGTTACTATATATGAATTATTTCTCTCGGTTTTGTTCTATTTTATTGCGGCCAAAAAGATTATTAACGGGATAGTTGATTATTTTTTTCCCAGTAGAAGCATGATCTGTGAAAATTTAGGGATCAATAGCGCAGATTTAGAATCAGTCCCCTCTTATCGTTTGGCAGTTTAGTAATTCAGAATTTCTTGATGTTTGCTGCTGAATAGTTCTTCTGTTTATGAGAGTGTGGTTCACTTGAGATTTTTTTTTTGAAATGAAACTAGAAAGCATCTTGAAAATGATAATTTCTCTTCGCCCTATAATACTATTTGGAAAATGCTGTTTAGACAAAACAATGAACCCAGAGCTCTTGAACCAGAATTGGCAAATGAAACATTGTTTCCTTATATGTATAACTATTAACGGCCCAGGGCTATCAAGGTTTTCTGCCAGTACATTTTACCATCCGACCGCTTTGCTTCTCTCAGAACTTGGGCAGTTTTTAGTTTTTACTTCATTGTAGCAGTCAGCTGGTTTTTAATGGCTGACCCTTTAACATCAGCATCATTTTCTTATCTTTGGTAAGAATTCAGCTCTGGCAGCTTTTGAATTTGCATGTAATGAGAGCATGTTTGATTGAATGCAGGGCAAAACATAAGAAAGCTTGTGAAGGATGGATTTATTATCAGGAAACCAACAAAGATCCACTCTCGTTCTCGTGCTCGTAGAATGAAGGAGGCCAAGAGAAAGGGCCGCCACTCAGGATATGGTATACATTATTAGTTTCTTATTTCAATTGGTCACATTCTGGATTGGGCAGGCAAGTTACTGCCATAGAGCAAGATTATATTTGAAATTATAGTGTGACATATAGTCTGGAGGTATGATATAAGTGTAAATAATCACTTGAGGTTCAACGCGTTATGCTCATTTCAGCATTTTCATTCTATTTTTTTTCCTTTCAAAATGATTAGTAGTTGCTTTAGTTATGACACGGAAGTTGTTGAAGCCAAATGTTTTTTTAATGTTAAAAAAAAAATTGAGTTATTTATTGCACCAAATGTTTTTTTAATGTTAAAAAAAAAATTGAATTATTTATTGCATCAAGCATCACAACGCAAAAGATAAAAGTACAGTTTTCATTGATCCTCACCCACACCCCCAATACATGAAAAATGATAAAATTACTCTAGTTTACTTGGGAAAATGGTGAATGGGGATGCTAGCATATTCTTCTATTCGTTGTGATTTGCATATAGATATCCTATCATTTGTTGGGCATATTGCATCCCGAGGCTTATGTTTCTCCTCATGTGAAGAGACATAGCATCTATCTCCATTGTTGGAAAAAAGTTAGACATGTTCCTGTTGTCCTCTCAAATCATTTATGATTACTTTGAGTCCTGAGCGAGTCAGTGTACTTAGATTCACGGTAGCAAGTGACTAGTTCAATAGTTTGTGATTATGGCTTGGTATTTTGTCAATATTACCCTTTTTTTGGTAATATTTTCAGGTAAACGCAAGGGTACTAGGGAGGCAAGATTGCCAACTAAAGTGCTTTGGATGAGAAGAATGCGTGTGCTTAGGCGCTTGCTCCGCAAGTATAGGGAATCAAAGAAAATTGACAAGCACATGTACCATGATATGTACATGAAGGTGAAAGGTAATGTCTTTAAGAACAAGAGGGTGTTGATGGAAAGTATTCACAAATCAAAGGCTGAAAAGGCAAGAGAGAAGTCATTGTCCGACCAGTTCGAGGCAAAGCGTGCTAAGAATAAAGCAAGCAGAGAAAGGAAGATAGCTCGAAGAGAGGAGCGTCTGGCTCAGGTAACACCATTATTTAAAAGCTACACACATTCATTGGATTTGATTTCTTATTTGGGTAGTTGGAGATTGGAGGGTTGGGAGCTATTTATGTTTGAAAAATGTAATGAAGTTTTTCTGAACCTAATCCCTGTGAAGTTTTTTTGGTCGGAGTCTCATAACTGAACACTTATATTGAGGATATGAGACGGCCTTAATGTCATTGCCAATCACTCCTCCAACTTGACATGGAAATTGATCTTAACGAACCGAACCCAACCATAGTCTAGAGGTTTGCTCTATAGGATCTAAGTTGCCAATGCATTAGCAGGCCTATTTGTAGGCTATGCTGCGTGATTGGAAAATTATAGAACAACTTAGCTTGTAGAAATACTAAGAAACCTTTGAGTATTTTGGTGGTAATTTCTATGGTGTTAATCCGATTGATGAAGTAATTACGCACTTGCATACTTTTGGCATGTTGATTCGTATATTTTCTTGTGGAGATCTAAGAACCTCATGTTGTATTGGTACACAGGGACCTGGAGAGAGAGCACCAGCACCTTCGCCTGCAACACAACCTGCCGAGTAAGGATTGGCAAATCCTAGTTTACCTGTTTATGTGAACAGGTTGTTCTAACTGATTTTTTTTTTCTTTCTCATTTTTGTAGGGGAGCTAAGAAAGGGAAGAAGAAGTGACCATTAGAGATAACGGTATACATCGCCATATTTGGATTCTACCGGAGTTTGCTGTCACTCTTTTATGACCAGTTTTATTGCTCAGTATGGCTCAATATCTTAAAATTCTATAGCCTGTAGTTTCTTTTGCTACCTGTTTTGTAGTGCGATTGTTTGGGAATGTAGTGTTTGATTGGAATATCACTATAAGCCTACAGGTAATTGAATGGAAGTACAATTTTGATCTTAAAAGCTGCTGCTCTTTCGGTTTATGATTAAGGTAATTTCTCTATGATGTGCTCTGAGAGCATTGTAGGTTAAATCCATGGGTTGCCTTTAGAAAATGTTGCTTCCTTTACAATAGACATGTAGCTGTTGGACACCCACGACATTGCCTCTAAANCATTGTAGGTTAAATCCATGGGTTGCCTTTAGAAAATGTTGCTTCCTTTACAATAGAAAATGTTGCTTCCTTTACATTGCCTCTAAGTGGGTATTCTGGCTGCTTTTGTTAGAGAATTCTAGTTTGGTGGATCTGATTTCTGAGTTGGGTCTATGATCTCCACAACGTAGGGGTCATTGTAATGCCCCTTCTCCACCAATTACATATAAATCCCCCAACATTGCCATATGGCAAAAAAAAATAAAAAATTGTTGCTTTGTAATAGAAAAGTTAAGAAAAAAAGTTTTCAATGTGCCTATTTGTATTTGTCTTAAAACCTGAACTTTTTTTTGTTTTGTAGGAAAAGAAGTCTGGTCCGTTTGGACTTGCGTTTATNAAATTGTTGCTTTGTAATAGAGAAGTTAAGAAAAAAAGTTTTCAATGTGCCTATTTGTATTTGTCTTAAAACCTGAACTTTTTTTTGTTTTGTAGGAAAAGAAGTCTGGTCCGTTTGGACTTGCGTTTATTGAGCAGTTTTTTCGTTAGTTTTTTGGGCAAATTCAATAACATGATATTATGGTCCCCGAAGACCTCAGCTACTCAGAATCGGGGCATGGGTCTGAAGGCATATCACCTTCATTGAGTTCAACTAGGCTGTCTTACTCTTAAATTGCTATTATTACAGTACATTAAATATGGCTTGCAGTCCGATGGAGATAAAGATAACGTATATAATCTGTATTAATTCAATCATTCTATGGTTTAAAATTTGATAATTTCTTTGAGGTTGGGTTATATTTATTCTTTATGAATTTTTTAATTTTAACGTGAATAATTTATCTTTAAACGAGACGAAGAGAAAATTAGTCAAAATACGCATAAATTAATTCAAACACACACCACGAAAGATCTAAGAGATCTACATTATTTCTTAGGTATTGAAGCAAAACACACTACTACGTGGATTCATCTTTTCCAATCCAAGTATGCTCTTACCTTGCTATCCCGTGCGAGTATGCTTGAAGCGAAATCGTATCCTATACATGCCACACCTAATATCCAGAATCCATATATAAAATGCAAATCAAAACTTTTTCATCAACTTTGACGTGCAGTTGCTCTCGTTCAGCGCTGTCCAATAGAAAACCACATCAAATTGACAAATTCAACTCCGCTCCTCCCCACTTTCTCTCTTTCTCTCTCTCTCTCTCTCTCTCCAAAAACAATTTAATCAGTTTTCTCTCTCTCCGGATCTCGCATTTGTATATTAATATTCCGATACACACAAGAGTTTTTTCATCAATGGCGTCGTCGGAGCAGTTAGTGTCTGGAAGTGGTGGGCCGAAATACGTGCAAATGCAATCGGAGCCGTTAACGTCGATGATGTCGTCGTTTTTCTCGTTTCATCATATTGAAGGCACTGAGACAACTCGAATTTTCGATGAGTTGCCCAGGGCCGCCATCGTTCAGGTTTCGCGTCCAGACGCCGGCGATATCAGCCCTATGCTTCTCACTTACACCATTGAATTCCAATACAAACAGGTGCGATATTTTTCAAACTATGAGATGTTTTTTTGGAATCATATACACACATGCGCGTAAATTTGGAATCATTTTTTGTTTTTTTTGTTTTTGATAAATATAGTTTGAAAAAGTTGAGATCATTTTCAATTTCGATAAGTTAGGATCGTAGCTTTGTATGGATTGAAATTGATAAAAACTATGCATATCTTCAGAATTGTTTCTATGGAGACGAGAACTAGGACTAGAAGTGAACCGTATTTCATCTTTTGGAAAAACAATTGATGCTGCGAGTGGTAGAACGGAATTCGAGCCTTGGAATTGGAATTGAATAAAAATTAGGACAAATTTTGAACAATTTTACGTCCACTCCAGTTCTGGTGCCTATATCCAGTACTGCCAAAAACACTCTGGCTTAAAATCACGGTTTTTGTGGATTTGAAGTTGATAAATGAAATGAATTTTGATAACTGGAAAAATCTCATGAGTCATGGGGATGTTTGAATTTAGAAGTTACGGGTGAGATTTTGTATCAAATTGTAGTTGAATTTATTTACTCTTGGTTTGGTAACTAAAGAGCAGCTGAAAAATAGTGCAGATTTGCATTATGTTTTTCATTGTTCGAATTCACAATGGTTCAATTGTTTAACCTGAAACTTTATACTGTAGTTAGCTGACTAAGATCACTTATCTTACTCAACTAAGAATGAGAGAATGAATTTAAGATTGAATTTGAAATTTCTTTTCCCTTGGTTTTCTTGGAAACCGATCAGCGGGCCAGATATTATTTGGCTGATTTCGGCTATGTAGTACCTTCTGGATTTCATAGACTGATAAAAAATACGATTACAATGGTTTTTTGGACCCTCATGTTTGATTGGTTGTGTGCTAGAATCCCTGTATTTATGGATAACATGTCGTGACTGTTGAACATCATCTCATCTAAAAGTTTAAGCCGTTAGAGAGGAGGTAACTTATGTATTTATAGTTTGATGTTAGATTTCTTGTTCTCATACCATGTTAAACACTATCTCACCTAAAAGATTAAATTTAAATAGGGTGTAACTTAAGGATTTATACTTCAATGGTGATCAACTTCAATTTTCATTTTTCAGAATATTTTATATTGTGTATTCCTTGTTATCATTGTAATTCCCGGAATACTTTATTTTACGTCTCTTTCGTTCTTCCCTTTTTTTATTTGACTATTAGTTTTTGTTTTGATTGTTGGAAACTAGTTCAAGTGGCAATTAGTGAAGAAAGCTTCACAAGTGTTTTATTTACACTTTGCACTGAAGAGACGTGCATTTATTGAGGAAATTCATGAGAAGCAGGAGCAGGTTTGTTTAAAGTCTGGTACTATTATATTCTGCATGCTGTGTTTTCACATGTCGAACCCATCGATGGAGCTGTTCTGATCTTCCATGTTGCCATTGTGCTGGTATTTTGATATATATCTGATTAGCCCATTATTTGAAGGTTAAAGAATGGTTTCAAAACCTTGGCATAGGGGATCCTACAGCAATGGTGCAAGACGATGATGAACCTGATGATGAGACTGTTCCATTACGCCATGAGGAAAGTCTTAGAAACAGGTGAATGTTAACTACATACCATTTGTCAAGATGGATGGGAAACGTGAAATACGTCCATTCCTGTTATAATTTTGATGATTCTTACAGGTTGTTTTTTGTTTAGAGATGTTCCATCTATTGCTGCTCTGCCAATCATTCGGCCAGCCCTGGGAAGGCAGCACTCCATGTCAGACCGAGCAAAGATAGAAATGCAGGGATATTTGAATCACTTTCTTGAAAACATGGATATTGTGAATTCCCGAGAGGTATGTTAGGGTCTTTTGTTGATTGTTTTTTTACTAGCAGGTTCTAATTGAGAGTTTTCCTCTATACTGGTATCTAGTGGCATGCTATTTGTGTTAAGAGAGCCTGTATATAATATCAAATAATTAGAACCACCAATGTTAGTTTATATACTTGAGAGCCCACTCCTTTCATTGTCAACTGGTTTTGGGTAAGATGCTCTAACATGGTATCAGAGTTAGACTTCAGATGGTTAGTGAGTCAAGTCTTTCACACATTTGAATTTTCAGGTATGCATGGTTGTTTTTTTTTAATTGACCACCCGTGTGGGCCGGGATCCTACGTGAGGGAGGATGTTAAGATAGTTTATATTTTATATCGAATAATTAGGACCACCAAGGTTAATTTATATACTTCAGAGGCCACTCCATCCATTACCAATTAGTTTTGGATTGGATTCTCTAACAATTTGTGTATTTCTTTGCGCATGCATGCATTTTTTGTCGTACAAAAGCTAAAATTCCTGCTGGCTGTGAATAGCTTGTCTTATGGTTGAGAATGCTGGAGTCCATTAGATAGCCAAACAAAAATAAAACAATTTATGAGATAGCCAAACAAAAATTGCAGGAGTGCATAAGAAAGGGAAATATTCTCAAAGACAATTTATGATTTCTGTGGAATTGGAGAAGATCTGTGATAATATCCAAAAGATGAAATATGGTGGGTGTTAAAGAAAGAAGGAATTACAAATATATATTAAATGTGATTACGGGCATGTTCTTGGCTGAAAACATATCATTCAAAGTTGAATATCCACTTAGTGTCCAAGATCTGTGGATCCAAAGCGCAGGCTTTCACTTTGCAGGACACTAATTATACATGTTATGGTACTTTAACCTTCTAGATGAATTTGTGTTAGAATAAAAATCAAAGGAAAAATACTTTTGGAATATTAATCAGTCATGAAGTGCAGAATTGGTCACATTCTAGGAAGAGAATATTAATTTTTCTTGTTCAATTTTAGAGTATTAATTTTTGAACGTGATTTATGATCCCAACCCAAAATGGTCACGACAAAGTTTGTTGAGGTGAGGGAAGTTGTTTGTTTGGATTTCAAGGTTTGTTGTTTGTAACTGAAAATAGTAGTTGCATTAGGAGTAGTTGAACCGTAAAAATTTCTTGCAAGTAAAAAGTAATCTTGGTAAGGTTAGCATTGTTTTTTTTTTTTTTAAATTTTGAATTTGGAGATATATTGTTTTTGTTTTACAATTTTTTTTTTTTTTTTTTGCGGATAAGTCTCAGCTGTGGATGAGGTAACTGGTTATGAGGTGTTTTATGTTTTTCAAAATAAAAGTTGAGTCTGCTATTTGGCGAAGGACCAGCTATCTTTAGCCCATGGTTTAAAGTATCGGCGGATACCGATACGAATTATACGTTCTGACACCGTTCCACGTTCTATACAAACTATGAGTCTTATGTGACTCGACTGAGTTGTCCAACTCATCTCTGAGTCAACCGAAGTCATTTGAATCATTGTTACCGAATTGGATGATACCATTATGTGACATTGTTATATGTTTTGAATCTCTTGTCATGTTCAACTTCATATTATTTTATGCACCTTGTTTGATACCGTGCTGTGACATTGCGACCGATACGTTTCAATGCCTTTTAAGTTGATCGCTGATATCGCGATCTTCAATCATGGTTCCGTCTCATTTCTCTATTGGAAATTAACGTATATTGCTATAAGTTGTGAATCACTTGAAGTCTGTCATGTAATACTGTATATAGTTCTGTTAGTGCATTCTTTTATGGTTTAAAAAGGATTGCTTGTATTTTCATGTGGATAGATGCCACTTGGAGCAGGGTTGACCAATTCTTATATACTTTACTGATTTCTTACCATTAAGAATTTATGAATTGCATAATTACGGTGGTATTCTTCTCATAGACTCACTTTTGCCAGCTTAATCAGTTCATTAATTCTGATGCATCGATCAACTAAGGGTAACCTTACCCTGCACTCTCTATCTAAGTCATTTTTTATAAGTTTGAAAGTAACTTCTAGTCTAGTAACTGTGTTTCTGGTTGCTTATTTGTCTGCTTCTATATGTAACTGGAAACTTGTTGATATTTGTACCTCAAAACTGCTTGCGCCTTCATTTGTTAATCCTTAATAGTAGCCTTAGACCATCGCTTACTTATTACATCTGTGTCAGTTGGCCATTAGTTTATATTTTATAACCTGAGATGTTCTTCAATGATGTTGTTCTGTACAGATGAAACTTCAGTAGTTGGAGTGTTGTATAGTTTGATTATTGTTCTTTCTCTACTACCTATCTTTGGAATTGAACACTTGCATGCCTTAGGTTTGCAAATTTATGGAGGTTTCCAAGTTATCATTTGCACCGGAGTATGGTCCCAAGCTAAAGGAAGACTTTGTGATGGTGAAGCATTTACCAAAAATTCCAAATGATGATGATAGAAGGTGTTGTGCATGCCATTGGTTCAGTTGCTGTAAGGACAACTGGCAAAAGGTCACATATTCTTATCCTTGAAAATTACCTGTGAATGTATGTAATAGGTTCCATCTTGGCTTTTTTTGTTGTTGACAAGGTTGTGTATATCTGGTCTGCCTTTTTTCATTTAAATTACATACGTTAGGAACTGCTTTAAATAGTTATATGAACGATTGTTATTTTCCTTCTGGAATTACGTGGTTGTATGGACCCTGCAATTTCTCTTTTGTTGATTTATTTAACTGAAGCAGGCTTACAACTGGTGTGGATGGTGCCATACATCATAGCTTTGGTTTTCGTTTTATTGGCATATTAAACTCATAATTTAATGTTCTTTTTATGCATGTTAAGCTCAATAGATATGGTGGGTGCACTGGTAGAGATTATCTAGTTATAAGCATTCTGGCACTGCTCTGGTCAGCAATCTGCTAAATGCTTTTTTAACCAACTGAATGAGGAAAGGAGAAATGGGATGCCATTGTTTCTATCCCCTCGAGCTTTGGCATGCCCAGTCGCCAGAATTTAGAAAGAAGATTTATACCTCCATTCCCTTCCTTCACTTAGCCTCCTGCCCATCCTTTTCTATACATAAGGAAGTTCCAACTAACATGATCATATGTCTCTTCAGTATTCAATTTGCAAACCATCCCTGTCCATTTGGGGGCAAGGCATTCGCTTGCAATAGGAATGATGAAGGGTTTGCCTACTACCCTCAAAAGCTTTTGATTTTCAGAAACCTCCCCTCCTACAACCTGCTTTGGTCTTAACAAATGCATTTGGACCATTAACTTTTAAACATTCCCTACTAAAGTGCAGGGCAATATTTTGATGTCTATTACAACCCCTTCTTAGGCACTAAAACAATGAGAGAGGTGTCTTAAACTCAAATTCAATGGGTGCCTTCGAAATACTTCTTAATTCTCTTTCTTGAATGAGAAGGGCTAATTTTTTAACCCTCTTATGATTTACTGCTATTTCCCGTCATCCTTGTATGGTTAAAATACATCCAACTAAAACTCTTNTCTCTTTCTTGAATGAGAAGGGCTAATTTTTTAACCCTCTTATGATTTACTGCTATTGCCCGTCATCCTTGTATGGTTAAAATACATCCAACTAAAACTCTTGTTGTTCTGGACCAATCTCTGCAATTTACTCCATTTACTTAATGATGAAATGACCTTTATAGATCAGATCTGTGGTATATTGACTCTCTGTAAATGGCTTTCTCATTCTGTACTTCCTCTATTTCTCTCTCTACACTGGGTCTTGTTTATTCATAACTAAGAGATAGATCTAACCAAATCAAATCAACAAAACTACCACAATTGATCTCCACCCATGGCCGTCCACCCAACCGCCATAGCCATCACTGGTCTCCAGGCATGGTGCACAACCCATAGACAGACATAATCTACAAGAGGTGACCTACCCATTGCATAATACCACCAATGTGATTGATAGATAAGCATGATTTGGTTCTGAAGAAAGTTCACAAACTGATATTAATAGTTTGGAAATTCAATGCACAGCTTCCACAAATGATGATGAGTCCTTCTCTCTTTCTCTGTCTATATATGTAGGTATGTACGTCTTTATTTATAAATACACGTTGCATAGGTAATCACAAATGCGTCATATTCTGGTTTTCTCAATTAAATACAGATTTTGTGGAAGTTATTGTCGAGCAATTGCAGAGATTGGATTAGCTCTGAGATGCGTTTGACTTCATTTTCTTTCTTCTTCAGTATTTTTGTTTTGAAAAGGGCAACAATATGAGCACCACATTTAAAGCACTAGCACATGTAAAAGCAAAAATTCTTACAGATTTTCGTTTTTAATTTACATATAAATCAAAATTGAAAAAAGCACAAAGTCACATGGCATTGGTCCAGAAACATGAGAGGGTAGTGGTTATATTGGAATTATAGGGAGATGAAGTGCAAAAGTGGTACACCACTGGGGGACAAAATAGAATTTACTCTAAAAAAATGCTGGGCTGCCTATGATCTTCATGCACCAAAAAGATGAAATGTTTAGCAACTGTGTTATTTTATATGGCATCGAGAATAAGTAGTGCTATATGTTGGGAGTTCTTTTATTGATTAAATCTTTTAGAACTTTGTAATACACTCTGTCCGCAATGTTACTGAGTTTTTTTATTGTTAAACTTATTTCTACCTAAATTATATGCAGGTTTGGGCTGTATTGAAACCTGGATTCTTGGCCCTGCTAAAAGATCCTTTCGATGCCAAGCCCTTGGATATAGTTGTTTTTGATGTACTACCAGCTTCAGATGGGAATGGAGAGGGTCGAGTATCACTAGCAATAGAAATAAGGGACCGCAACCCTTTACGCCACTCATTTAAGGTAAGCAGCATTTGGATCTTTATATTGTGAAGGACCCAGTGTTCTGAATTGTTTTTTTGTTGGTGTCTGCGTCTTTTAGTTTAAGAAGTACTGACACGCAGACACAACATTTATCAAAAAAGACGGACACGGACATGCTATAGATGATTGTGTGTTATATATAAAATTATATAAATTGTCATAAATATCGTGATAATGATATACTATTCATAAAAAAGACTTTATGATATGATAATGATATACTAGTGTGAATTTTTAGATGAAAGTATCATAATAGTCAAATAGTCATAATTTTTTTTTTGTAGACAACGTGCGTCCAACATATATTGGCTAAATGATTCTTCTCATTTTCTCAATTCCTATTGTTCAAAACTTTTGTATGCATCTTTTGTTTTTATTATTATATTTTTAGTACAACTTTAATATATTAATCCTGATAATTGATATTAGTCAATTTGTTTTAGCTTTGTTAGTCACATGTCAACACATATTTATTGTTTAGTACATGGTCTAAAGAAATGTCAGACACGTCTCTAAAGAAATGTCGAACACTTGTTCGAAATTAAAATTTTATTATTTAACTATGGATATGCATAATAGAGTATTGGACATGTGACGCGGATACATCACCTTCTCAAGGTTGTCCATGTTTTAGAGCTTTTAGTAAACAGGCAGATAGACTTTAGTCGTACTTTAATTGACTAGTTAGTGCTGGTGTGCCGTGTTCAGTTTTCACTATGAATAATTTTTTTATTAGTTTCTATGTGAACTGTCTCCGAGCTGTCTGAATACACCCCCCTCTACAATTAATTTTTAAGGATTTTTGTTCTATTTTTTGTAAAAGATTCAAAAGTATGAAAGGTTGAAGAAATTTTGTGTAATGCAAGTGAACTTTTGCCCCTGGCTTTACTTCTCACACAGGGGTTAATTGATAGGTGGCTGGTAGTATTATCTAATTGAAATAGTAGGGTAAGTTCATTTTCTGACCAACCACGGAAAATTACAATAGGTGTCTTGTGGAACCCGTAGCATAAAGTTAAGAACCAAAAGTAATGTTAAAGTTAAAGACTGGGTTGCTGCAATTAATGACGCTGGTCTTCGACCTCCTGAGGGTTGGTGCCACCCTCACCGCTTTGGTTCTTTTGCTCCTCCACGAGGTTTGATGGAAGACGGTAGTCAGGCTCAGTGGTTTGTAGATGGTCGAGCGGCATTTGAAGCTATTGCTTTAGCAATCGAGGATGCAAAATCAGAGGTCTGTTTCTCTAGCTTTGGCATAGTTAGAAATGCATCCGGTCCATTTAATTCTCTGATGTTCAGTTTAAAGAAGTTGATATATGCAGATATTTATTTGTGGCTGGTGGCTGTGCCCAGAATTATATCTACGACGTCCATTTGATGCTCATGGATCCTCACGGCTCGATAGTTTGCTGGAAGCAAAGGCCAACCAAGGTGTTCAGGTACCCAAGTTCCTGTAAATGATTTCTTGGCTCTCAATACGTTATTATTTCACCTAATTGAAGAAAGTACTTTTGGGATTAACTTGTCACTGATCTCTAGAGTATCAATCTTATGAAATAGATGGCTAGACTCTTCAGAGTGCTGATAAATATCAAGCTTTAGTTTGAAGATTGGTCTTACATTCTATTAAATAATGTTGTTGCCATTGAGACCCTTTACTATTGCGATACTAGATATGTGGAAATTCCATGTGTATGGAGTTCAATGAATTCTTGCTATCGTTAAAAGAATCTTTAATGCTCTGAATCATGAATTATATGTGGTATCTCTGGAGCTACCATTTAACCTACTACGTATCATGCTATCTCCAAATTCCTTGTCTACCTGTCAAACTCTTGAGCTATAGCTTTGATCTTAGCTTGCTGATTACATGTTGAACATTTCTATATTAGCTAGTATTTTGTTTAGCTATTCATATCATCTAGGGTACTTTCATTATGGGAGAAAAACTCTAAGAAATGCTTCATGAGGGTTTGTTCAACCATCTTTTCCATATGCTAACTACTATTGGGATGCACGTTACCGTACTTTATCAATTAGCTTAGGATTATATCTGAAGCTGAATTTCGTATGAAACAAGATTTTAGTAGCATATACTTAATATATAGTTAGTACTTATTATATGATTTCTAAATTCTTTCTGGTCTTAAATCCTTTTTTTTTTTTTTTCATGTGAGGTGTCAATGAATCTGCATGGTATTGTGAGGTAGGAAAGATGACAGTCCCTTGTGATGTCTTCCCTCATGGTGGTCATTCTTGCACGTAATAATCATTTTGGATGCAAAATTCCAAGCTATGAAAGTGTTTAGCATGTTGCTAACACCTGTCTAGACCTTAGTGCATGGCTTTTTAATCCAACCTGAGTTTTCTGAGCCATGTTGTAGATTTGTCCAAGAGCAAATCTGTTGCTGGCAATGGTGCTAATTGTTTTGTTTCGGAAACTTATACAGGACAGATGGTTTTAATCTCTTGTATGACTGCAGATTTACATTCTTCTGTACAAAGAGGTTGCTCTTGCTCTGAAAATCAACAGTGTGTATAGTAAGAGAAAGCTTCTTGGCATCCATGAGAATGTCAGAGTTCTTCGTTACCCTGACCATTTCTCTAGTGGTGTCTATTTATGGTATGCACTTTAGAAGGGTAACCTTCTTAGGCTTGGATTTGGTTCTCATGTTTATCTCCCTGATGTTGTTATTTGGACTTTGTTTAATGCTTAAATCAAACTGATTGTTTGCAGCTGCTCATACCAATTTCTGGTTGCATGTAGGTCCCACCATGAAAAACTTGTAATTGTTGATTACCATATTTGCTTTATTGGAGGACTAGATCTATGCTTTGGCCGTTATGACTCATTTGAACATAAAGTGGGTGATCACCCTCCTCTGATATGGCCTGGAAAAGACTATTATAACCCGAGGTATGTTCCATCTTGTCTCTACATTGGAAATGTGGGTCAGATAGTTAGAAGGATAATCGTCAAAAGTTCCACTATGAAATGTGATGCCTGATACTATGTCTAGTCAACCATTGGAACATCTTATTTGTCACTTGACATTGATCTTGATTTGCTTGTGAGGCTGTACTGTAATTTTGAGTTTGTAGTTATCCAGTTATTTTGGTACTGAACTTTTGGAAGAGCAGTTTTCTATATTTGTCTTGCTGGATCAGAGTAGCATGATTCAGCTCATTTTCATTGAGATGAGTATTTCAGCCATTCTCTGCAATCCCCTGATCATATGTTTTGGTCACTTTTTAGCCTACTGCAAAGATGATCTTTAACCTTGAAAACCAACCAGTAGCAACCCTGGTAGTCTCTGCCTGGCTTGAACTTGTACAAGAGTTTTTCTTTCCAGTTTTCAAATGATTCAAAGTTGGTTTTATCACCAATTTGGCAGGGAATCGGAACCAAATTCTTGGGAAGATACTATGAAAGATGAATTAGATCGTGAAAAATATCCACGCATGCCATGGCATGATGTTCACTGTGCTCTTTGGGGACCACCTTGCCGTGATGTTGCTAGGCACTTTGTTCAGCGCTGGAACTATGCTAAGGTGGATATTTTGTTACAAATTGTTTTCTTGTGCAATGTTTGATGTTTTTATAATCTTACCATTGCTATGCACTCTTTTAGAGAAATAAAGCTCCAAATGAGCAAGCAATACCACTACTCATGCCTCACCATCATATGGTTATTCCACACTACATGGGAGTAAGCGAGGAGATGGAGGTTGAATATAAGAATGGTGGAGACTATTATAAAGATCTCAAAAGACAGGATTCCTTTTCTGGTCGATCATCTTTTCAAGATATCCCGCTGCTGATGCCTCAAGAGGCTGAAGGGATGGATGCGTCCTATGGAGAACCCAGATTAAATGGTATGGATATGCCTCATGATTATTCTCATCAGCCAAGCAAAGCCAGCAGAAGCCCTTTCTCTTTCCGGAAACCAAAGATTGAACCTGTTACTGCAGATATGCCACTGAAAGGCTTTGTAGATGATCATGGCACCTCAGATTTTATGCGGGGATTGCCTTCAGAGCCTGGCATGAAAAGCTCAGGTAAAGAATGGTGGGAGACACAAGAGCGAGGTGATCTGGTTGTATCTGCTGATGAAACGGGTCAAGTTGGTCCTTGTGTTCCATGTCACTGTCAGGTGGGCTTCAAATCTTGAAGCAGCCAAATCTTTCTTCAGTTTTTGGACAGTTTTACTGCCTTTTAGTTTCTGATCTATCATGTACATATCCAATGTTCTGTTGATTTGCATTATTATTAATCCTACATAGAATTCTCTCATTAGGACCAACTGAAGGAAAGAGGAAGAATGCATTTCTGTAACTCCTTTTAACCTTAATTAGATATTATTTTATAGTTTTCCATCGGAAAATATATTTTTTTGAAGCTTCAAATTGACTATCATTCTACGGAGCACTGCATAAGTTATAACCTCGGGGAAAGTTTAAGATATCTTAGAGGCCTTCTGCTAAGTTTCTATAGTTACTCTGATATCTGTTTTTAATTTCCATGACATGGTGGTAACATACCATCAAGAGGAGGTTGCTGGAAGACTTCTGGAATTAGATGTCATCTGTATAAGCATTGTGTTTGAGTTTGTAAACATATATATATTTTTCAAGCTTGCTGGACATCGGCATATCACCATGCTTGTCCGCAAGAGAAATCTCCATGACATCCTGTAATATTCTGATGCTATCGAAATTACACAATCTAAAGTCAGCTTAATTTATCATCCACATTTCATGCCTATTATGAGTACATGCATTCCCTGATACCTTGTGTTTGTAGTACATATGCATTTGCTTAAGCTTGCTCGACATCGGCATATATCTTTGTTATGCCTGCTCTTTTTGGATATGCTATCCACGAGGATTCCGGGACAGTTTGGAAAATCTATTGATCTTTGATAGAGACTAGCTGAGCAACACATTTATTTAGGTAGATTAATAGAAACTTTAAGTTTGAAATACTGTTAGTTTCTTGCTCTCCTAATGGAGTTTTTCCTTTTCCTAGCGAGAAAAAGAATACAACTAATTGAAGAGGAAAGGCTATTGAGATGGCAGTATCCATGTTTGGATATGTTAAAAAACTTATACCTGCCTTCCTTAAATTGTGATGCTGCTGTCATTCTGTTATTATTATTCTTTCTGTGCATTTAACTAGGACTCATCACTGTGACCTCTCATTTTCAGATTTTAAGGAGTGTCAGTCAGTGGTCCGCTGGAACCAGCCAAATTGAAGAGAGCATTCACCATGCTTATTGTTCGCTTATTGAAAAAGCAGAACACTTGGTATATATTGAGGTATGTAATTGAATTTTTAATTTGAAAGTACAAGTTTTCTACTTATTTGTGTTCAGGAATGATGGTAAAATCGAGATGCGAATGAAAGAAGTGCACACAACCTCTCATATAGTAAGTGATGCCATTTATTTAGTAAAAGATTTACTGCATTCGATATAGGACACATCAAACGACACACCCAGAGTCTGACATATGCTGTCAAGACTGGGAGGTTCTGTCACTAAGTATGAAATAAATTGGAATAACTGTTATCGCCTCCCACATCTATGCAGTGCTTTTCCAACAAAAACTTGTTTGCCGTCCTACTTACACTTTGGGAAGTCTGAACTTTCCCCTTAGCAACTTTTTTTAGCGTACAACAGGAAAAGTGGCATGCCAGCACTCCGATCAGGCACAGTGGGAGCAAAGAGAAATCCACTTGCTTCGGCTGAAGGATGGGAAGCACCAACTTTTTGCAGTAACATTTAGAAATACATGATTTCAGTCCGTTGAATATAGAGTAACCGACCAAATCCTTCTGTCTTATTTGTTAAGCCTGTGTAGTGTGATTGAGCAATGAGGACTTGCCTCTCTTTGAAATAAGATTTTTAAGAGAGAGAGAGAGAGAGAGAGAGGTCATTTTATCTGTGGCATTGATGTTGTATGTAGGCAGGCATGCTTTTCCATCTGGAATCTGAATTCTAATACCATGCTCAATCTTGTTCAGAAGATTGCAAACTGATGATTAAGATCCTTGTTTTTAAAGCTTTCTTCACCTAGTTGTCCCAGTAATTAATTTTCTTTCTTCTTTGTTGTCCTTTCTTTTTCCCCCTGCACAGGCGGTTTTCTGTTACCTATAGCTACCTCATGATATATGTGCAAACTTGTAACTGCGTTTGATGATGTCTTTCCTCTAAAATTTTAATCCTCAACATAGATACTACTTGTTAAGTGAATTATTATGAATATGGTCTTTGTATATACAAAGGGGCTTCAGTTTCCATTCCGTCTTTAATCCATTCTTTCCTGAGTTAGTTTGATGTTACCTTTGCTGTCCAGCATCTGCTTCAGTTTCTCTGCTTGGCTTTCTCTCATCCTTCTGAACCATTCAATTCATCTTCTGGTACTAATCTACCTCTACATGATTGAACCATAGCAAGCCACCCAGTCCTCTCTAAAAGGGAAAGTTCAGAGAAAACAAATTGAAAAATGGTCCTGGGGATCTAGGATAAAACTAAAGAGGCTATACATCGTAGGGAAGCTTTACAAGACGGCTATTCAACTCAAAACAAATGAGGAGAATCTAACTGTATACTAGAACAGGATATGGATCAGTTACCCAAGATAGAGATGACTTACTCTTGAAGAATAAGATGACCTTTCGCATAGGGAGGAAAAGTGACAGTGGCCATGTTTGTGACTGCCATTGTTGGAAAGGCTTGAAGTAAGATGATGAGGATGATGGAAAACTATGATCACACCTATGATGGCTTCTTATGTCTTTCATTTCGAAGATATACATAATTTCCATCTTCATACCTCATTATAGTTTTGGTCAATTTTATAGGCTTCCCCATTATTGTGTGCTTTCTCCTTTCATAGGAGTTCCAATTCTCATTCGTGCGAAAGGTTTCAACTATCTGTTCGTTTGTCTGACAAGTCTTCTTCATACCTTGTTACAGAATCAGTTCTTCATCTCAGGCCTTTCTGGTGATGAAATAATACGGAACCGCGTCTTAGAAACATTATACAGGCGAATCATGCGAGCATACAATGACAACAAGTGCTTCAGGGTTATTATTGTCATACCACTCCTACCTGGGTTTCAGGTACTAATATTGGTTAATTGCTTTAAATTTTTATTCTTTTAATTTTCAATGTTGGATAGTAGTAATTAAGTTTCAAGTTTAACAGGGTGGTCTGGATGATGGTGGTGCAGCATCCGTGAGAGCCATTCTACATTGGCAATATCGAACAATATGCAGAGGACAAAATTCAATATTGCATAATCTCAACAATCTTATTGGTCCTAGGATGCATGATTATATATCTTTCTATGGCCTCAGAGCTTATGATAGACTTTATGATGGTGGGCCTGTGGCCTCCAGTCAGGTATAATCTCCATTGATTGAATTTACTGCTTTTTTGTATCTATTTGTTATTCTGTTCTTTGATTGGCTGAAAAAGCTGCTTGTGCCATCAATGTGGTATTATAATCTACTCAGGTGTATGTGCATAGCAAGGTCATGATAATTGATGACTGTATCGTTTTGATTGGATCAGCCAATATTAATGACAGAAGTTTGCTTGGTTCAAGAGATTCTGAGGTAGTATTTTACCTTCATTATTTTAATATTAAAGCTTGATTCTGTCTGGTAAAATTCAGAGCTTGTAATTTCAAGCCGAGTGGAAACAGTATATTTTCCTTTGAAATTTGACCTATGATGAATTCATACTCGAATTTTTTCTGTCTTCTCTTTCTCCTCCTTATTCCTTGTTTTGAGAACTGGGAACACAAATAGTGAACACAAGTCTATCTGCAATGGTAGAAGGTATAAAATTCTGTTGGTAATATGAAGATCTTGGTGAAGAAGTATTTCTAGATTCTTCTATGAATACCAGAAGCTCAAAAGTTTTTATTTATGGATTCCATTTGTTCAGGTTTTCAATTACCTCAAGTCTTGTTCATCTAGATTTTTTTGAAAGTTGGAGTATCTGTCCTACAAATTGTTGATTTAGATAGTGATTCATTAGAACTTTTGTCATTCTACATGATTCCAGGCAAACAAATTGGCTCTCAACTTTTGACCTCAATTCTCGCTTCTGCTGGTTGCTGAGCACTTACAATTTTCTTGGCAAAAATAATTGAATCTTTACTAGGATAGTAAATGTAATTCACTTGTTTTATATTGTTCCATTTTCAACGTAACTGTAGACAATTATTTTCACCACATATTTCCTGGATTTTTTCCCCCGTTTATTGCAAACTATCTATATGGTTTTAGAGTATGTTGCATCTTTGATCCCTAGAGGAGATCCGTTCAATTCCACATGACAGCACCATTGCCATCTCTTATGACCCCACCATAACCTGAATTCCCCGAGTAGCCTTCCCTACTCTTTCAAAGTTCATCTTGATGTGATTTGAAGAGGAAATTACTACAAGATTGAGATAGATATGTTTGAATTTCAATTCAAAAAAGTAATGCAATAAAACCTCGTCAAGTTCATCTTTAGGGCATCTCTAACCCTGACTCAAATTTAGACTCAAATTTAAATTTAAGTAAAAAAGCCTAAAAATCTTGTTCCAACCTTTGACTCAAACTTATACCAAATTAAGGGAGACTCATTTTTTTACTCAAATAAAGGGAGAGTTAAATCCTTACCCAAATCTTTAATGGTGATATTTCACCATCTTTTAAAGATCCAATGATCATCTTTATTTTCTTTTAAATTTAGGTTTGCCCTCATTTAAATTTGAGTTTGTCCACTGGAATCCTTTATATCAAATCAAGTTTTTTTCTCAAATGTTAATTTAAATTTGAGTAAAAATTTGAGTCATTGTTAGAGATGGNCCTTTGACTCAAACTTATACCAAATTAAGGGAGACTCATTTTTTTACTCAAATAAAGGGAGAGTTAAATCCTTACCCAAATCTTTAATGGTGATATTTCACCATCTTTTAAAGATCCAATGATCATCTTTATTTTCTTTTAAATTTAGGTTTGCCCTCATTTAAATTTGAGTTTGTCCACTGGAGTCCTTTATATCAAATCAAGTTTTTTTCTCAAATGTTAATTTAAATTTGAGTAAAAATTTGAGTCATTGTTAGAGATGCTCTTACTAGTAGTTTCTCCCAAGCAACAAAATTTCAGTATGCTTTTTGTTCTATATATATCTTGAGCTTTGTTTTGGATTATCGTTCTCTTAGTTGTCACATAAGGTTGTGTATTCAGATCGCTGTGCTTATTGAAGACAAAGAATTCGTCAATTCATCTATGGGGGGCAAGCCATGGAAGGCGGGGAAATTTGCTTTGAGCCTTCGCCAATCACTATGGTCTGAACACCTTGGTCTTCGTGGTGGAGAGGTTTGTGAATCTACTAAATGCTGAAAAGCTTCTGTTTATTTAAGCACTACACAACCAATACTCTGAATAAACAAGGCTTGGTTTGTGGGAAGCAGTTGAGAAAAATTTCCTAAGGCCCATATACTAGTTTGGGAGGGCATTATTTTATCCATGTTGGACAAGCTCTAACACTTTCCTCCCAATTTTCCAGATTAGTCTAATAAATGACCCGGTGGTGGACACAACGTACAAAGATATATGGATGGCAACCGCAAAGGTGAGGACTAAAAGGAGTTATTGTACTCCAAAGCTTATTGAAATTACCATTTGCATTTTCCCCACAAGAGTTGGTGACAGAAAATCAAGCCTTCTGAAATTCTGATGAATGTAAAAGCATTTTCGTTTTTTTTTGTTTTTGTTTTGGGTGGGGTTGTTATTGAGGTTCACATGCAATATAGGTTTCCTCATCATCATTTGAGTTCTAAAATAAACTGTTTTGTGTGCAACCTATTCTGTATTCATCTTTTGCTTTTAATTTTCCGCCAACTAACAATGAAAAACTGTTGTTTTATTCACAGACAAATACCATGATCCACCAAGATGTCTTTTCTTGCATTCCCAACGATCTCATACATTCTCGGTATGATCCAACTACCATCTTCCTCTTATATTTCTTGTTTTTGTCCTAGATTCTGATGTGTAAGAATTTTTATAATGGCATGCAGAGCATCACTCAGACAATGCATGACCTCCTGGAAGGAAAAAATTGGACACACTACTATAGACTTAGGAATAGCCCCTGAGAAGCTCGAATCCTATCAAGATGGAGATATCAAGGGCACTGATCCAATGGAGAGATTAGAGTCAGTGAAGGGGCATCTTGTTTCTTTCCCGTTGCAGTTTATGTGTGAAGAAGATTTAAGACCCGTGTTCAATGAAAGCGAGTACTATGCATCAGCTCAGGTGTTTCATTGAGTATGACTTTTATAGACTATCCCATGTTTTACTACCAGCTATGTAGCTCATGCAAATTTCCTGCTTCAAGAGGTAAAAAGTCCCAATGGGGGGAACATCTATTTAATTCCTTTTTCCGCTTTGAGTTGGGGGGAAAGTGCTAATGTGTGTATGTGGGTATGTGTTTTATTTTTTGGTGGAGGATGGGGTAAACCCCAAGAAAGAAACTGAACCTCAGGAGGAAAAAGAAAGAGAAACTGTTTCACAGTGACTGATATAGGGCCCGCATGTTTGTGTATTTTGTCAACAAGCAGGGTTGGTATTGACATGAAAAAAAAAAGATAAATATCCAGAACAGCCACGAAATTTTTTCCTATTTACATTAGGAAATCGAAACTTTTTGATTGTACGTCGGAAATTTCTTCGGCAGAGGATGATATCCTTCCTGAGAACTTATGTAACATATATTTCAAGTAAATCATATTGTATAAGTCATTTGTTCTGTCTTTTCCCATTTACCTCTCCAGTAGTACTTCTTGTTTATTCGAGCTGGCATGTTAAAATTACATCAATTCTTTTATTTTATTTGTATTTTTTTTTAGATCTTATCAAGTTTTCTGTATACTCTTGGGTATTTTTTAGCTTTAGCATCTGCTAGTAGTATGCAAATTTGCCTGAAGCAGGGAAAGTTTGCTGAGGCGAAATTGTACAATGGTAAATGCTTTTAATGAAACCTATTAGCAAAGCAATAAGAGAATGTTAGTGCATATAATGAAATTCTGTTCGTACTGTTTTGGGTGAATTGTAATTTGTATTTGGAAAGATCTTAAAAATTTTACTTTGTATCTTAAGGATTAAATTTTTTACATTACACTTTTAATATATCAAAAGTATTGAAATGTGGTATGTCTGGTAGTTTTTCGTTAAATTTTTTTTTTTCCAGTATCAATGGGTTAGTTTTTGACGAAAAAATAACGGAAGTTAACAGAAAAGGCACATTACAAAATACTTTTAATACATTGAGGATCTAATGTAAAAAATGTAATTTTTGGAGGTACAAAATAGAAAATTTGAAATTTTTTAGGGTGCAAAGAGCAAAAAGTTCTTCTTTTGTTTTTTTGGAACTCTTCGTATAGCATAATTCAAATAGTCCAAAGCGAGCCTACAGATTCAAGAGAAAAATCTGTTTTGTCCTATTAAATTTGGACAAATTTTACTTTGTACCTCAGAAAGTTTCAAAATTCTCACTTTGTACTCTCAGGCATTAAATTTTCTATATTACACCATTAATGTAATATAATATTTTTGTTAGTTTTTATTAATCATAATTTTTGACGAAATAAATAATAAAAAATTAACAAAAAGGTCACATCGTAATACTTTAATGCAATGAAAAATACAATGAAGGTACACTAAAAAAAATAATATCATGGGTATAAAATAAAAATACTTAAATCTTTTAGGGTATAAAATGTTATTCTCCTTTAAATTTTTCATAAGAAGAGAAAAAAAAAAAAGGAAGGAAAAATTACAATAAGTATTACTTTTCCCCCAGAAACATCCATTAAGTCCTATCATTTTTATTTTATATCAATGAAATCTTAATCTTGATATTTTATCTCAATAAATTTCTAAATTTCATAAAGTCTATATTTTGTTCCAATTTTATCCCTTTCTTGACAAATATTGACACCAATAACATTAGTCGTCTTCTATTCATATGTATTTCAATTTCTTGTGTTTTAAATTATGTATTGTTTACCTGATAATTTTATGAAAAATCTAATTACTAAAAAATTTTAAAATTGTCATTATGAGATGCAATAAGATCCATGTGTATTCTCGATGTACAAGAGTTTCACGACAAAAAATCTAGTATTTTGTGATTTTAGAATCGCAATTAGAGTAAATACAAATACCAAAACAAACATTGAGCATTTATATGTCTATAGCTTCGATAAAAACTCACCATTATTTATAAAAAAAAATAAGTAAAACTCAGATAAAAATGGATGATAATTGATCCATTCTCAAATAAATATTATTAATTGAGATAAAATATCAAGATTAGGACTTCATTAATAATAAAAAAAAGGGTTAATTACACCGGAGGTTTCTAAAGAATAACATTTGTTTCATTTTGGTCTCTAATATTTCAATTGCATCATTTTGGTCCCTGAATTATTGAATATGTTTTTATATGGTTCTTTAAGTAGATAGTGTCTAGATTGCTAACGATTTTTTTATCATAAACTTGTCATGTAATACTTATATACGAATAAAAAAATAATTTAAATAACTCTTGACCAAATTTTTACTCTAATTTTGTTTAAATAGCTACTTAAATTACAAAGTTTTGATCATGAGCTATCAAAATTTTGGTAAAACACTATCCATATTATATATTTTTTTTTAAAGAGCTACCCAAATTTTGTTTAAGGTTATCAATTTTTATTTTTTTGTCCATATTTAGGTATTACGTGACAAGTTTATGATAAAAAATTGTTAGTAATTTGGATATTGTCTGTTTGAAGGATCATATAGAAATATACTTAATACTTCAAGGACTAAAATGATGTAATTGAAATATTAGGAACCAAAATGAGATAAATTTTATACTTTGGGGACCTCTAATANATCAAGATTAGGACTTCATTAATAATAAAAAAAAGGGTTAATTACACCGGAGGTTTCCAAAGAATAACATTTGTTTCATTTTGGTCTCTAATATTTCAATTCCATCATTTTGGTCCCTAAATTATTGAATATGTTTTTATATGGTTCTTTAAGTAGATAGTGTCTAGATTGCTAACGATTTTTTTATCATAAACNGTCTATATTTTGTTCCAATTTTATCCCTTTCTTGACAAATATTGACACCAATAACATCAGTCGTCTTCTATTCATATGTATTTCAATTTCTTGTGTTTTAAATTATGTATTGTTTACCTGATAATTTTATGAAAAATGTAATTACTAAAAAATTTTAAAATTGTCATTATGAGATGCAATAAGATCCATGTGTATTCTCGATGTACAAGAGTTTCACGACAAAAAATCTAGTATTTTGTGATTTTAGAATCGCAATTAGAGTAAATACAAATACCAAAACAAACATTGAGCATTTATATGTCTATAGCTTCGATAAAAACTCACCATTATTTATAAAAAAAAATAAGTAAAACTCAGATAAAAATGGATGATAATTGATCCATTCTCAAATAAATATTATTAATTGAGATAAAATATCAAGATTAGGACTTCATTAATAATAAAAAAAAGGGTTAATTACACCGGAGGTTTCTAAAGAATAACATTTGTTTCATTTTGGTCTCTAATATTTCAATTGCATCATTTTGGTCCCTGAATTATTGAATATGTTTTTATATGGTTCTTTAAGTAGATAGTGTCTAGATTGCTAACGATTTTTTTATCATAAAATTGTCATGTAATACTTATATACGAATAAAAAAATAATTTAAATAACTCTTGACCAAATTTTTACTCTAATTTTGTTTAAATAGCTACTTAAATTACAAAGTTTTGATCATGAGCTATCAAAATTTTGGTAAAACACTATCCATATTATATATATTTTTTTAAAGAGCTACCCAAATTTTGTTTAAGGTTATCAATTTTTATTTTTTTGTCCATATTTAGGTATTACGTGACAAGTTTATGATAAAAAATTGTTAGTAATTTGGATATTGTCTGTTTGAAGGATCATATAGAAATATACTTAATACTTCAAGGACTAAAATGATGTAATTGAAATATTAGGAACCAAAATGAGATAAATTTTATACTTTGGGGACCTCTAATATAATTAATCCTAAAAATAATAGCACTTAATGGATGTTTATGGAGAAAAATAATACAATTTTTTTTAAAAGAAAAGGAAGAAAAAGAGGAAATGACGGCAATGGAAAGGAAAAAAAAAAAGGAGGGAAAAGGAAAAGCAATTCCCTTCAAAATGAGATCGGTCACTTTCTTTATCTGAGTTGAACTCACCAGTCACCAAGCACCATTGGAATGGCACCGCCGTAGAGATCAACGGAGAGTAGGTCAGATCGGTTACAAAATATCATACGAAAGGTATTATTCTATTGCTTCTGCTTATTTAGTTACCATCTGTATTAGGGTTTCGTTTTTTTTCCCTCTTCCTTTCGCTTCAAATTAAGTTCATGTCCCTCATTGAAATCTAAAACTGTGTTTCTTTTCCCCAATGGTGCCTTCAAGTGGTTCGGATATTACGTATATATTGGAATTATGGCCGAGATTAGAAACTTCATGTCGAATGTGTTATTGGTCTTAGTGATTGAGGGAGACTAAGGAAGTCGGAGACCTCCCTTCATGGCGCCTGGAATTTATCTCACACCAAAGATAGTATATGACTGCTGTGGGGCTCTGTTAGGTTCTTGGTTGCTGAACTAATACTGTGTTTAGGTTTCCCTGAGTTAAAATTAGGAAAAACTGCCAAAATGGGGAACACTCTTTTAGAGTTCTATGTTCAATTACCAAAGCGAAGCTGGATAACTGTGATTTAGTTTGCTCATCAAACTGCTGATTGTGTGCACCTGCTTCTTTTTCAAATCTATTGTCTTTCTCTTGGTTGCATATAATTATACTGATTAAAATTCAAATCATGCAATCCTGTGACTAGTTTGGGCATCAAAAGCGAATATAGATGTCTCAAGTAGTCTTGCATTTTACGTGTGTGTTGAGAAAAGGGTGGGACAACGAATGGCTGCTGCTCGACTTTTTTGGACTGCTGCAACTAAATGATTGTTTATTGCATGGACCTGAAGGTGATTGTTTATTGCATGGACCTGAAGGAGATTGGCGGCAATTTTTTGAATGTAACCTTCTTTTTCTTTCTTTGATTGTTGCATTTTGTAATTTGCAGGAGAATTGTATTCTCTATCATTTCTGCTAGTAACTGGTGCTCCAATGGCATCATCTACAATAAGCTCTGGTGCCCTGGTTTCTCTGCAAGAACTAAGCTCCTCTTCTCCACACTTCAAGCAAGGTGCTTCGCTCAGAGTGACAGGAAAGTGGGTAATTTTTACTGGAATTGTATCTTATATATCTTTTAAACTGTTAGTTGTGAGGAATAGGAGATGGTAAATAAGCAGGTTATTTTGTTAGGCTTTATTATCTTAATGAAAGTCATCGAGGGAAAACTCATCTATGCCCCCCTGTCCATGCTTTGGTTCTCTTAACTAATAACTTTTGGTTATCTGAACATGATCAATGAATATAGAATCAACTGTAAGCTTTCAATTGTAGCATGTATAATAAAGTTGATTGTGCTCTACCAAAAGGCCATCAGTAAAATGCTGTGTGTACTCTTTGAGAAGCTTAATTGTCCTTATGTTCCTCTTAGGCTGCAAGAGTACACTGTTGAGACTGCAATTGCAGTAATTGTTGATGGAAATGTCAGATTAAAGATTGACACCCAGCACTTGAAGCTCAATTTTTGAGTTGGGTCTACTTATCAGTTCATTGGAGAACTCCTTATCCAACCCAGGGAT